CTTTCTCTAACTGTCTATCTGTTTGGAAGCATAATTCAATGGTTGAGATCATACTTTGCTTACAAACGAACAGAATAACAAAGTTGGAAGGGACCTTGGAGTTTTTCTAGACTGAGCTCTCTTCAAGTAGGAAACCCTATGCCATTTCAGACAAATAGTTATCCAATCTCTTCTTCAAAATCACCAGTGTTGGATCACCACAAGTTCTGGAGGCAAGTTGTTCCATTCATTGTTCTGTCAGGAAATTTCTCCTTAATTCTAATTTGGTTCTCTCCTTGATTAGTTTCCATCCATTGCCTTCACACACCTTCACACACTGGCTTCAGGAGAATAGCCTGACCCCTCCTCCTCCCTTTATTGAGGCAGAGTCAACCAACTATTCCTGGTTCAATCCCATGATCTTCTAAAATAAAAAGCTGATACAAAATTATTGGAGTAGCTTTAATATATTATGAGCTTCTACCCTATTTTTCCCAAAATAAGACATCCCCTGATAATAAGCCCAATCGGGCTTTTGAGTGCATGGCAATAAGGCCAAGCACTTATTTCAGGTTTCAAAAAAATATAAGACAGGGTCTTATTTTTGGGGAAACACAGTAGCTCTTACAAATATTCTGGGTGCTATATTTGGCCCCAGTTACTCATTCTTAAGATTGTTTTGACAAAAAGAAAGGATAAAAATAATTCTTAAAATACACAGATTTCTGTACTGTGTTTTCCCGAAAATAAGACCCTGTCATATTTTTTTGAACCTCAAAATAAGCGCTTGGCCTTATTTTTGGGGAGGTCTTATTATTTTGGGGTCCATGGAGCAAGATGGGGCCCCTCTTGCTGTCTTACCTGATTTCCAGCTCTGCATTTAAATATTTTCGGGGAGGGCTTATTTTCAGGGTGTGTGTGTCTTATTTTAGCGCATGCACTCAAAAGCCCGATTGGGCTTATTATCAGGGGATGTCTTATTTTCGGGGAAACAGGGTAGAATAATCAAGTCTGAACATAACCAAAGAAAGCATCCCATGATTAGGCGAGCTTTCTCTAAACAAGCTAATTTAGCATCTATGGTTTTAAAATTGAGAAAAAGAACAGCCTTCAGATAGCGCTGGATTAGACAGGGAAGCAGATTTTAAGTTGTGTTGCACTAAGCAACTGTTTGACAGATAATCTTTTTTTCCCCAGTACTAATCATCTCTGTCCAAAGATGAACTCTTTTGCTGTGTGAATGAGTGGGTTTCCCTGTTGAAATGATGTTGACAACATGTGAAATAGCACATTTTTCACTGTCTACAAGCAGATGGGACTGTATCAGGGAAACCATCTACAAAGGGGCTAGGATGAAGAGATTTATTTTATAAAAGAGTATTACTTCTTTGATAGGGTACCTGTCTGCTCCCTACTTTCTGGAACAGATTAAACCTGATCTGGTTACCTCTTCAACTCTTTTTTGAGTACTAAGACTCGGAATTGTTTGGCCAACCCAAACAGAGTTGTTATACTCTATTTATGTTAAACATTATTACATATGTGAATATGTAATGACGAGTGTTAATTTTTGCTTGCAGCTGATGTTTTCCCCATTATTTGATAGTTGTCAGCTCCCTCAAACCAGATATCTGCAGGGTAGGGGTAACAAAGAAGTCACGATGATAGTCACATACAGGTAGTCCTCGATTTACAACCATTCATTTAGTGACCTGGTGAAATTAACAATGTCAGTGAAAAAGGGACCTATGATTGGTTTTCATCAGGGGTGTCAAATTCGATTTCACTGAGGGCCGCATCAGGGCTGTGTTTGACCTCGGGGGGCTGGGGTGTGTGGCCAGCTTAGGCATGGCCAATTTGACGTCACTCTTGTTGGGGGACCCAAACACTCTGCCAGGGAAAACAGGCTCCCAAGCTCCATTTTCAGCTGCGATGGCCTCCTGCAACCCTCTGCCAGGGAAAACAGAGCACGCAGCTCTCCCGAGGTCCATTTTCACTGGCAGAGGTACCATGGGCCAGTCCTTTGCTTTTCCAGGGTGGCACCATGGGTCAGATCTAAGCACCCTGTGGGCCAGATCCAGCCCTCAGGCCTTGAGTTTGACACCCCTGGTTTTCATGCTTATGATCGTTGCAGCATCCCCATAGTCATGCGATCATAAATCTTGGCCCTTGGCAACTGGCGTGCATTTACGACGGTGACACTGTCCCAGGGTCATCATGTGATCACAATTTGTAACCTTCCTGGCTGACTTCTGTCAAGCAAAGTCAATGGGGGAAGCTGGGTTCACTTAATGACTGGTGATTTACTTAACAACTGTAGTGATTTGCTTCAAAACCAGGGCAAAGAAGGTCTTAACATTTGGCACAACTGACTTAACAACAACTGCTTATCAATGGAAATTCTGGTCCCAACTGTGGCCATAAGTCGAGGACTAGCTGTATTTGAAGCCCCACCCATTTTTTTCAAATGCACTGCACATGTGACATACAGAAAAAGGGCACAGGACTTCCATTATGCAGTTGTTATTGGCATTTTGACTCTTTTGAACCCTCTTGTATAAGTCTCGGTTCTTAAAACCTGCTTCCTTTATGTTATACCTAAAAATATAATGTTCTTCCATAAATTAGTTGTATTACTTCATTATAAATAAAGAAAAGCAAGGTATTTTGCCTTATTAAAAAACTTATTGAGTTTCTAATAAGGGCATGATCTGCAACATTAAATATGGAATAGAAAAACTATAGTCTTAACATTATTTGTTAAATTTGACGATAAAGGTAACACGAAATGGCATATACCGTGTTTCCCTGAAAAATAAGACCAGGTCTTATTTTCTTTTAGGCTTGAAAATAAGCACTTGGGCTTATTTTTGGGGAGGTTTTAATTTTTTCTGAGGTGCAGGAGGTGGGGAGCGCAGTCACTTCATGGCTGCTGGGTCCCTTAACTGCGGCTTGCAGATCAGCTGAGCCAGCGAGCGCTGGTTGTGGCAAAAAGCCATGCGGCCTGTCGGAATTGCCTCCCCCCCCGCCCCGCCTCTACCCAGCTGCTGCTGCTTGAGAAAAGGACAATTCCGGAAGATTGTGGGAAGCATGTGCTTACAGTAGACGCAAACCGTAGCCTCTCCCTTTCAAGCAATCAAATCTCTGTGTGTGTGAGAGAGAGAATGAGAGAGAGAAAGAGAGAGGGGGGGGGAGAGAGAGAGAAATGACAGAGGGGAGTAACAAGAATTGCAGGCAATGCTGTTTGAAAGGGTTTCCTCTCCGCCGTTCTCTCTCTCTCTCTCTCTCTCCTTCTCTCTTTCTTTCTTTCTTTCTCTCTCTCTCTCTCACACACATATACACAGACAGACATTTGATGAGAAACAGTGGAGGGCAACCAGGTAAGGGGATTGACCCTCCGCTGCCTACAGCTCGGCACCTGCTCAGGGTGGTGCCTCGAGGCCCGGCCTCTGCGTGGGCAACCCCCGCCCAACCAATGCAAGACATGGGCTCCCTCACAGCCCCTTGCCTCCTGCGTGAAGCCATCTGGGCTCGACCCCCGCCAAGTGTTGAGGCCAGGATTGGGTCAGAGCCTCCGCCGGCAGCAGCCAAAATCATCAGGTCAGACTCAGTAAGCCATGGATGCACGCTGCTGCCTGGGAGGAGAAGAGCGCACCAGAGCCCCAAAGCTGGGCCTTGCCGGACTCGGAAGGCAGGGATCCTGCAGTCATCACAGTCACATAAAGGCCGCCCATATCCCCGGGCTGTTCGCAACTCGAGTGAGCCGCGCACAGGAGCAGCGGCACTGCCATGAGATTTGTCATATCGGCACAGCTTCTTGGAGCAGGATCCTGCAAGGCTTGCTGTGGTGTTGCACTTGTGAACGGCAGCACCTCTGTGAGCTTCATCACACCGGCACAGCTGGTGTCCTGCCGCGAGCAGCTGTGCCAGTATGTCGAACCTCGCGGTGCTGTCGCTCTCGCGCACAACGGCATAACGATCCTTGCAGGATCCTGCTCCAAGGGGCTGCGCTGATGTGATAAACCTCACATACATGATGAACACCTCACACATGCAATGCTATAACAAGTCTTGCAGGGTCCTGGGAAACGCTGAAGGCTCGGAATGAAGCCTTTTTGATGAACGGCAGGAAAATGAGGAGGAGGCTTTTCCTGCCTGTCATCCTTTCCTTGAGCTCAGCACAGATGGAATTCTCAAAAAGGCTCCATCCCGAGCCTTCAGCGTTGCAATCCTGGGATGTACGTCCTTTTCTAAAGAGACATTCGATTGCTTGAAAGGAACAGGCTGTGCCCAGAGAGAAGGACTGAAAGCCAGCTCCTGGCCCTCGCTGGCTCAGCTGATCCGTGACTCCGAATAAGAGGCTGAACAGCCATGAGGTGACTGGGAAGGACTGCCTCCTGTGCTGGCCATGCCTATCTCCTTCACTAGGGCTTATTTTTGGGATAGGGCCTATATTAGCCCCCCCCGCAAAAAAGGTTAGGCTAGGGCTTATTCTTGGGGTAGGTCGTATTTTCAGGGAAAAACATGGTAGTTGATCATAAATTTTGACATCCAAAAGTTATTTTGTTTGCAGCGGCAACATCTAAAAGGCTAAAGACAAAAGGAATCCCTTTCAAAGACTGCTTTTATATTTCAGAAGGAGAGTGAGTGAGTGATTCAAAACTTAAATGTCCAGAATTGAATTATAGCTCTAGTCAGAAGAGTGAACACAAGTAAAGTTTCTGATCTTCTATTGGATTTTGTTTCAAGGATTCTTAATTAACTTTATGTCCTTGTCTTTGGCAAACCCTAGCTGTGCCTTTCCTATTTTCCAACAACACTATAAAAGACAGACGTGCAATTTCTAGCTTTTGAGCTGCTGCTAGACTTTATCATCCTTTATCACTGGCCATGCTGATTAGGTCTGATGATAATTGGAATTCAACCTCTGAAGGACATCAGGTGCATGTATAGGACTTTATGCTATACTGTATAATTCTTTTCAAGGCTGCCACAAAGCACTTTTCTTTTCTTTTTTCCAGGTAAAGCACCATTGCCTAGACCAAATTATAAATCTCCAGAACCCAATGGCTGTAGCTCCCATTTCCTGGGTCTCAAGGTACCAGAAAGTGTATGTACTAACAACCCATTTCCCTTATGAAATAATTAACTGATCAAAACATCCAGGAAGAAAGAAGCGTTTGACTTAGCTGTAAATAGCGGCAATTGCTCAACTATTTCTATACAAAGTTGGCCTAGACTGTCATTCTCTTCCATGTTATGCAAGCTATTTCTCTGTGCGTGCCAAAGGGGATGGCCAGCTGCTTATGGCAGACAAAATGAATGTGTCTGCCCATAGAATTCACTCTTTGATTGGTTGGGCAACAAACTATTTAATCCCCAACTGTTAGGAACAGCTGTACTGTTAAATATATCTTCTAGAAATCGCAGATTTGGAAATGGACGCTGGCTAGAAAGCTTCTATCATCTTAATAATTAATGTTAAAGGCCCAGAGTACTGTAACATGAATATTAACAATACGGGGACTGCTAAAACAGTCAAGTCTGATTCAGATTAGACTCCATTAATCTCACCTCAACTGGTGCCGCGACTTAATTTAATGTAGCCAGCATCTGATATTTCCTACAATTTGCTAGCATTGAAATGCCCACATTACAGAATTCTTCGTTGCAGAAATGACCTGCGTTTGCTGAATGGAACTTGCCCATTCTGCATGCTGCATATTTGCATTGTACAAATTCATCCTGGATGTTATATTATACTGCACCAGCTTCAGACTCACTGTTCACTGATTGCTGGTACTTTCAACATGATGCAACAGAAGGGAAGTCTTGCTCTGCCACCCTAAAAATTTCCTGGTCAATCTCCAAGAAAGTTTGGGACAGTTGCCGCTTTGTTGACCTATTCGGGTTGGCTGAAAGCATCCTTGGACGTTGAACAATATCTTGTCGCTCTGTATGGGCAGATATAGCTCAGGAGATCCTCTCCTGGTTCCTATTTATTCCTAAAATAAATAGAAGATCAATTTGCCTAATCTCACATTTCACTGCAGTCCTCCTGCTGGGCAGGGCAGTCAAATATATAGCACTTCCCCTTGTTAAAATATTCATTGTGGACAGCATGAAGAGCCTTTTTTTATAGGAGAAATATGGGAGGAGGGGAGAATCGTTTCTAACCCCAGAATGATTTTTTTCCTCATCTTTTGGCATTCTTTTACAGCTTGACATGGGCATCCCAGCCATGACTAAATGCTGTAACCAGCTGGATGCATGTTATGATACCTGTGGGTCTAATAAATATCGCTGCGATGCCAAGTTTCGTTGGTGCCTGCAGTCCATCTGCTCTGACCTTAAACGTAGCCTTGGTTTTGTCTCCAAGGTAGAAGGTAAGTTTCCTGATGGGGAAGATGTTAAACACATAAACGCATGGCTGCAGTGCCACGCCACGTTCTGAGGTAACAGGAGGGACAGGGACAATAGCAACAGCACTTAGACTTATATACTACACAGTGCTTTACAGCCCTCTCTAAGCCAGGGGTGAATTCTACTTACCTTTACTACCGGTTCACAATGGGAGAAGCTTCTGAGCATGCGCAGATCAGTGGTGGGTTCCTCCCAGTTCCGCCCGGTTCCGCCGAGCCGGTAGGGGTGACGATATGACGTCACCGAACTGGTTCTGTCTCCCCGCCCCCAGCCCCCCCGCATTATTCTTACCTTTTATTTGGCCCCCACCCCCAATCTATTGCTGCCTCCTGAGTCCCAGTTGATCAGCTAGAAGAAAAAAACTGTTTAAACTCTTGCCGCAGGGATTCAAAGGGCCGCCCTACAGCTGATCAGTAGTAAAAGGCAGTTTGGTGGTAGACCGGTGCCTCCTGTTAAGGATATTGTTGTTGTGTTACCAACCAGCAGAGTATAGAGCACAGAGAAACGTTGCTGAGAGCAATGAATAAGAGATATGCAAACTGGTTTATCAAAAGTTTACTTTATAGTGAAAAAACAATCTGGTAGTAAAACCGGAGGGAGGCTCCGCCCACCCCGATGTCATCAAAATGCTTCTGCACATGCTCAGAAGAGCGCGCGCGCGCGGCCCCATTACAAACCCGTAATAAAGGAAAGTAGAACCCACCCCTGGTGCACATGCGCTTGCACGTGTGTGCAACACTTCTGTGCATGCATAGAAGCTTCTGTGCATGTGCAGAGACATCAGGGTGGGTGGGCAGAGCCTCCTGCTGCCGTTGCCGATTTGCCCGATCCGGGGTTAACTGGTAGCAACCCACCACTGCCTTGCGGGGTGGAGTCTGGGCAACTGAATGGAGCTAGCAGAGTGTTTAATGGCGGGATGCCCTTCCTGTTTCCAATGCAGAGTTTTGTTCAGCGGATATATTCTCAGTGTGCCCAGAGAGAGAAATATCTGCCTCTATCTAGGATCAAACTCACAGCCTCCTGATTGTGAGAGGGTTCTACTCACCTTTACTATTGGTTTGTAGCGGGGCTGCGCGCAAGCGCAGAAGTTTCCGCACATGCGCAGAAGCATTTTGATGACATCAGGGTTGATGGGCGGAGCCTCCCGCCAGTTTTACTACCAGTTCTATAGAACAGGTGCAAACCGGGGGCAACCCACCACTGATTGTGAGGTGAGAGCTCCACCTCTAGGCCACTGCACCACTCCAAACCTGGACTACCTGTATCTCCCTCTGAATAACTAAAAACAAAACTTCTTCTAAAACCAGTCAGTGGAAGGGAGGGAGGGAGGGAGGAAGGCAGGCAGGAAGGCAGGCAGGCTGGCAGGCTATTGCATTGAAAGATGCAGAGATTTATTAAAACGTATTTGCGAATTAAAAAAGGTGTGGAACACTGAACAAAGTATTTTGAAAAAGCTCATTCAGGCAGGCATTTCATCCTCATGTACCATTAAGTTCTCTTTGGTTAAATAAGAAGCAATTAGATGGCAGAGGGATTGCTAATTTATTTTTCAAATGTAACAATTAAGATAAATTAGAGAGTTCATACTTCAGAGCTACTGATGTACGGGACTTTCTCAAAAAGAAAGTGACTTAATAATTCACTGGCTTCATTAGGGTGATAAAATGTGTAGATTTTCCACTTCCTGGTCCTATGGCTTGAATTCAATGCATCTTACTCAAAGTCTTCTCTTCTTTGTGTCTTTCATCACTTCAGCAGTAATTATTTACATATCTGTAAATATGGGTGAGAATTGATTTGATATCCATGAAGTTTGGGATTAGGTTATTATCCTCTAGTTCTGGGTATGTTGCCCAGTTCTGCACGAGGCCTCTCTAGAAATTTACCTTAATACACATGATTAGTGTTAGTTGTCCTTGCTCAGGTTAGCTACAGTACATTCACTGGCATTATCTTCTAGATGCTCAGACAAACATCTTGCTTAGCTGCATTCTGCAGATGCCAGGAACTGACTCTATGATCTTATGTATACAGACCATTTGCTATCCCATTTCCTCCATTTTCCTACTTAATTTCCAGCAAAATTTCTTCCTGCACTTAGAAGCATGAGAAGTTATTCACTCATTTCTCTTTTATGGGGTGAATGACTTCTCCAGCAGGCTAATATTAGAGATGATCATAGAGCGATAGCACTTAGATTCATATACCACTCCACAGTGCTTTACAGCACTCTCTAAGCAGTTTACAGGGTCAGCATATTGCCCCCAACAATCTGGGTCTTCATTTTACCGACATTGGAAGAATGGAAGGTTGAGTCAACCTTGAGCCAATCAGGATCGAACTCCTGGCTGTGGGCAGAGTCAGCCTGCAATACTGCATTCTAACCACTGCGTCATTACAGCTCCTACGTAAGACAGGGGTGACATTTAATTAAGTCTGTGATCAAAACACATCTTCCTCCAATCTACTAAGGGGAACTTTGACCTTATCCTATCTAAAGAGCATCCCATCACAGCCTCAATCTTTTTCTCTCACACAAAACAAGCAATTACATAACAGACAGTTTGAGTGATCTACCCTTCTAAGGGAAAAATGGAAGATAAGAAGGATGATGGAATATAATGTTTTAAGACCATTCCCATGAATTGTCATTTGCATTCTTTTAGAGGGTCATTGAGGCCACCTTGAGGTTTATCTGGGTCATCTGGGTCACCTGAGTAGTGCAAATGGGTGTGGAGTAGTGATGAAATCCAATTTTTTTCTGTGGCAGTGGCTTGGTGGGTGTGGCTTGGTGGGTGTAGATTGGTGGGCGTGGCAGGGAAGGATACTGCAAAATCTCCATTCTCACCACACTCCAGGGGAAGGATACTGCAAAATCACCATTCACTCCCCACTCCTGGGGGAAGGATATTGGAAAAATCTCCATTCCCACCCCACTCTTGGGCCAGCCAGAGGTAGTATTTGCCGGTTCTCCGAACTACTCAAAATTTCGGTTGTCGGTTTTCCAAACTGCTCAAAATTTCTGCTACCAGTTCTCCAGAACCTGCTGGATTTCACCCCTGGTGTTTAGCCTTCTTGGAACTATTGAAAGTTTGAAGAAGGCAGTTCCAAGAAGGCTCCATACCCATTTGCATTACTCAAGTGACCCTGACAACACAGATAAACCTTCAAGTGAATAGAATAGAATAGAATAGAATAGAATAGAATAGAATAGAATAGAATAGAATAGAATAGAATAGAATTGAATTGAATTGAATAACAGAGTTGGAAGGGACCTTGGAGGTCTTCTAATCCAACCCTCTGCTTAGGCAGGAAATCCTACATCACCTCAGACAAGTGGTTATCCAATCTCTTTTTAAAAACTTCCAGTGCTGGAGCATTTACAATTTCTGGAGGCAAGTTGTTCCACTGATTAATTGTTCTAACTGTCAGGAAATTTCTCCTTAGTACTAAGTTGCTTCTCTCCTTGATTAGTTTCCACCCATTGCTTCTTGTCCTGCCTTCAGGTGCTTTGGAAAATAACTTGACTCCCTCTTCTTTGTGGCAGCCCCTGAGATATTGGAACACTGCTATCATGTCACCCGTAGTCCTTCTTTTCATTAAACTAAACATACCCAGTTCCAGCAACCGTTCTTTATATGTTTTAGCCTCCAGTCCCTTAATCATGAGAATGTAATGGTATAATCCATTATTCATAAATACCATATTAGAGTCACCAGTAGTTTATTTTGTTCTGAGACAGTTTGCTTGCTGTTGTATGTCTCTATTATTCAATAATTATTGAATTATTAATTAAAATTATGATTTAAATATAGTGCTATCATTAAATCTGCTCCAATTTACATAGAAATAGCATTAAATCTTAACAGTTTATAGAAAAGGATGAAAGAACTGTGAGTTATGTATATATTTTTATTAGTGAAAAAACATAATTATTCATAATAAGCAGTATTAATGATATATATAGCATAATAACAAAGCCACAAATCATAAATGTACATCCTGTAGAAAAAAAATGATTAGGTGGCTAATAAACTCGATCTTACATTAGCTAAATTTATCCTTCAGTTAGCCTCAATAAAATCCCCCAAAATGCTGAATCATACTAACTAGAACAGAAAATCTACTCTGTATCTCTGAATTCATATACACTTCTTTTAAAAATTATGAATTCTAAGCATATTACAGCTAACTCTGAAAATATTAAGCTTCTAGATTCCAAACCTTTGCTATATTCTGCCTTCTGAATTAATTTAACTGAAAGAAATAATGAAACCCATATTTTAATTAGGAAGCACTTTCCCCCTCAGTTATATCATTTTCTGTTGTCTCACAGATCCGGGCACCCTTTAAAATACTCGATCCTCCTGTATTTACATGTATTTTCCTTTCCTTGAATTTCTCTCTTCTTTCTTTTTAATTCTCCTTTAAGTATTTATCTGGAAGGCGATGTTCTCTCTTATAGCAAATGTCTCATGCATATTTATAAAGCTATATATTTTAAATCACATTGCCAAAAAATCTTTTCCAGATTACTTCTACTAGTTAATAAAGGCGAATAAAATTATAAATATTGGCTAGAATGCCAAAAAGTAAGAAACTCTTCTGAAAAGAAGAAACTATTTTTCATAAATCATTTCAGAAGTCAGGAAGAAGAAACCACAGTGGGAAAAATAGTTGGTCAGAAATGTTTAGACATGCTGAGTCTCCATTTTCCCAGTACTCTTGTCTCCAACTCTTTACTTCAGACCTATAAGGAAAATGATAGTTTGACCTTTTCGGCAAATCTTCTTCCACAGACAGATCTAGGTGTCCACGACTTGAGTACGAACCAGTAATGTGTTGCTGTTGCCAAAATAAATAAAAAAAAAAATGCAGTCTTAGGCTGCAACAACAGAAGGATAGTGTTAAGATCATGAGAAGTGATAATACTGCTCTATAGGGGGGGAAAGCTATGGCAAATCTAGACAGCATTCTAAAAAGCAGAGACATCACCCTGCCAACAAAAGTGTGTATAGTCAAGGCTATGGTTTTCCCAGTTGCAATGTATGGCTGTGAAAGTTGGACCATAAGAAAGGCACCAAAGAATTGAGGCTTTTGAACTATGGTGCTGGAGAAGACTCCTGCGAGTCCCTTGGACTGCAAGGCGATCAAACCGTTCAGTCCTAGAGGAGATCAACCCTGACTGCTCTTTAGAAGGCCAGATCCTGAAGATGAAACTCAAATACTTTGGCCACCTAATGAGAAGGAAAGACTCACTGGAGAAGAGCCTAATGCTGGGAAAGACTGAGGGCAAAAGAAGACGGGGACGACAGAGAACGAGGTGGCTGGATGGAGTCACTGAAGCAGTAGACCTGAGCTTAAATGGACTCCAGAGGGTGGTAGAGGACTAATCAAACAGTCCCCATTGGCTGTCCTGTTGCCATGTCTATTCCAGCTCATATTGACAAGATCCTAAAAAAGTCAGGATATGTTAGGACATGGTTATGATTGCATGACTGAAACTCCACAATTTTTTTTATTGCATTCTTGCAAGTCTGCAGCTCTTATGCTAACCTTTTTTGACCTCTCCATAGATACTTATACTGTCCTTTCCACTTGTCCTCCTTTTTTTCTGAATGGGATTGAGCCCTTCTTATTTGCAGCCTTTCACATTGGATGAATTGGACAGAAATGATCTGCAAGGTGTGGAGTCCTTGGTTGTTTTCCTGCAGACCCAACTAGGAAACATCTTCAGTGCTAGAAGAGATGGGGTTTCCTCTCTGTTTATATGTTTGCCTGGTTAGCTTGATAGTATTGATAGTATTGGTGATTCTCCAAAGTGCTTCTGAGCAAAAGCATAGACCAGTGAAAGAGCATTTTAGGCAAATCTATTAAAAGTTCTGCCTTAACTGGATAAAGGAGACCCATGTTTAGGATAAATTGACCCTAAAATAATCAACAGGACTGAAATTTATCCACAGGATGATAATGTAGCAAGAGGGGAAGGAGGGATTATTAAAGAGGAAAATGGCATAGGAAAAAAATTATTAAAACCATTTCTCCAATTGCTATGTTTCTAGTTTAACAGAGTTGGAAGGGACCTTGTAGGTCATCTAGTCCAACCCCCCGCCCAAGCAGGAGACCCTACACCATTTCTGACAAATGGCAGTCCAATCTCTTCTTGAAAGCCTCAAGTGATGAAGCTTCCACAACTTCCAAAGACAACTTCTCTTCCATTGGTTGGCTGTTCTCACAGTCAGATTTCTCCTTATTTCCAGGTTGAATCTCTCCTTGTTCAGCTCATTCCCTTTCACACTCCCAGAAAACAAGAGCTTTTATTTTTTTAAAATGGCAATCTTTATACTATTTTTTTAGCATGTTATCATGCCAAATTAAAAGGGACAATAAATATAACAGCATTTTGCAGCTTATTGAATTCTCCCGCTAATGGGAATGAATTTATGGTCCAAGTTATCTCAAAAGTGCCAGAGAAAGGCGAAATTGGACTATTTCCAACATGTTTGAGGGACCAAAGAACTTTCGCTGAGTGGCAAAGATGTACTAGTCCTGCTAAGCCAGGAACACAGCCCGAGGTTTAGCTCACGCAGCCCTTAGGACCAATCAGGATTATGGCAGCCCCTTTAGAGATAAAGGTACTTTGGGGCTCAAAAAGAAATGCCCTTCTATGATGATAAGAACCATGCATACTTGGTGAGAAATGTAGTATTGGGCAGCTTATGATTTCTTGATACTAAAAGCCTAATATAATAAAAATTAAAATTGTCCTGTATATTAAAATAACGGGACAAAGTGCCTTTAAAAAAATTAGCATCGTTTCCCCATGTTTCTGTCAATGCTATAGGTATAATGCTATTGTAGCAAAAAAAAATTGCTATAATTTGAAAAGGTGCAGTATTCCTAAAGTGAATACTGTACCTTTTGAAAATCAAAATCAATCAGAATAGAGGTGGAAGGGATTTTGATTGTACACTAGTCCAACCCTCTGCTCAAGCAGGAGACCAATATTCCTAACCGAATATTGGATGCATTTTTGGAAGCTTTTATAAAATAAGAAAACTGTTGCTTTGGGGAATGGTAGGGCCCTGTTTGCTGTGGCACCACAGAAACTTCAGGCACAGGTTCTGGAGGTTGTTGAGTCAGATCTTGATCGCTTTCCTATGGTCTAAGGAAAAGAAATTCCAGTCATTTTATAAAAGAAAAGTTGTGATGGATTTGATCCAGTAGAGAAATCCAAATTGTTTTACTACCGGTTCTGTGGGCATGGCTTGGTGAGCGTGGTGTGGCTTGGTGGGCGTGGCAGGGGAAGGATACTGCAAAATCCCCATTCCCTCCCCACTCCTGGGGGAAGGATATTGCAAAATCTCCATTCCCACCCCACTCCAGGGGAAGGATACTGCAAAATCTCCATTCCCACCCCACTCCAGGGGAAGGATACTGCAAAATCTCCATTCCCTTCCCACTCCTGGGGAAGGATATTGCAAAATCTCCATTCCCACCCCACTCTGGGGCCAGCCAGAGGTGGTATTTGCCAGTTCTCCAAACTACTCAAAATTTCCACTACCGGTTCTCTGAACTGCTCAAAATTTCTGCTATTGGTTCTCCAGAACCTGTCAGAACTTGCTGGATTTCACCCCTGATTTGATCTCTTTCTCTTTTGCTACAGCATGTGAGTCAATAGCCGATACAATATTTCAAACAGTCCGGACTCTGGGTTGCCGTCCATTCATGAACAGCCAAAGAGGTGCCTGCATCTGTAATGAAGAAGAACGAGATGAATTGTGAAAATGACCATCAAGCTGTTTGGTAGTGTGACAACGGTGGCTTCTGGTGTCTTTTGTTTACAAGAGGCTTGATCTTCTATCTTCTGGAACAAGCACAAATATCTTAACTTTGGGGCTTGGGAATCAATCCCAAGCCTTGTGACCACCCATGCATTAATTGTCAAGTGAGCATGATTGAGAAAGGAATCCCAAAAAGCAATGGAAAGGCTTAGTCTGATACCCTCATCTGTTCTATCTAATGACTTCTATCTACTTCCCACAACATCTGCTTGACTTAGAGATGATTCGTCATGTAAGTAGAGCAGCTGAGATGCACGTGAGCAATCCAGGCATCAAAGAAGATCTAGAGCAGGGGTCGGCAACCTTAAACACTCAAAGAACCACAAAGGTCCTAACCAGAAGCCTCCGTTCAATTCTGGAGCTGACCGGAAGTTCAGTTCCCCCACCATAGAGTCTCCTCCTAACGCAGCATCCTTTTTCCTCTACCTGTCCTAACCAAAAGCCCTATCAATTGTGGAGCCGACCAGCAACAGGGAGCCGCAGCAGAGGGATGAAAGAGCCACATGCGGCTCCAGAGCTGCAGGTTGCTGACCCCTGATCTAGAGGCTGCAAGATGATATTGACAATATACACCTTTGCAACCCACATGTATGTGATCAGCCCATGGCTTTCCTCACATGCTGTCACTTTTGCTTTTCAAGTGATACAAAGTCATGGAAACCTTACATTGTTGTAAAAAAAAAAAAGAAGAAGCTCATCAATATTGACTGGATTAACCCATTAGAGAACTCCGTTTGCGTTGTGGGCATCTGCTTGAAGACAAATGAGAGAAAAACACCAAGATCGGAATATGAAGTCACTGCACAATGCTCATTTTATTTTCACTAGATCATCGTTCCATTAAAAGAGTAAAAAACACGAATCATCTTATAATAAGAAAAAGGTATAGATGGTACATGATGGTAAGAAAAATATAAAATGCAGAGCATTTCAAACTTTTATTAAATAACATACATAGCTTAAAATAATGTCAGAGATTGGAAGGAACTTACTTCTATCTACATAGAATTAACTAGTATTCTACAACTTAAAGTGACATAACTATATATCGTTCATACACGTAAAACTCTTGGGGATCTCCTGATTCTTTTTCTATACCCTCCTCTTTAAAATTGAAGCATTCTGGTAGATTACCCATTGCTCTCTAAAGAAAGAAAACTATTTTTTTTCCTCTGAACACAGGCTAATGGAATTAAACCTCCTTCTGACTGAGATTGAAGTATTTGGAGCTGCTTTATTGTACTTCAGTAATTGGATTTGCACTGGCCAACTTTTTACATCAGAAGGATTGGTTCTTTTTCATAATCCTCCAGAGAAAACTTTCCCTTTCCCCTGTTCCTGTGATCCTGTGAAAGACAACAGGAATCTTTCATTGGGTTCCCCCAAATAGTTGTTATCACAATGCAGTTAGTCCTCGACGTACGACCAGAATTGAGCCCCAAATTTTTGTGGCTAAGCGAGACATTTTGTTAAGTGAATTTTGCCCCACGTTTGTTGCCACGTTTGTTCAGTGACTCACTGCAGTTGTTAAGTTAATAACACGGTTGTTAAGTGAATCTGGCTTCTCTGTTGATTTTGCTTGTCAGAAGGTTGCAAAAGGTGATCGCATGGCCCCAGGACACTGCCACCGTCGTAAATACGAGTCAGCTGCCAAGCATCTGAATTTGATCATGTGATCATGGGGATCATGGTGTAACCATCCTAAATCACTTTTTTTCAGTGTCATTGTAACTTCCAACAGCCACTAAACAAAGTGTTGTAAGTCGAGGACTATCTGTACACAACAGCATACACAGCAATATCATAGTATCCTGATGAAAAGAATGCAAGAAACGTTTTGAATCAAGACGCAAAAGGAGAAATGTGCGTGAAAACTGCTCTCACCTCTGAGAATAGGAGTTGTTTTTTGTTTTTTTTAAAAAAAACATGGTTAGCTAGTTAAAGCATGTAAATTTCAGTAGTGTAAATATTAATGTGTGGGGTTTTTTTTCAAAATAGATTTGGAAAATTTTACTTTGGACGGGTGGGAGAATTGCAGACAATATTAACTGATACAGAGTTTCTTAAATCAGCATAGGGAGCTAACATAAATCAAGTGGTTGGAAGACATTTCCGGATAATTCCATAAAGGAAAAAAAATGAGAGAAGAGTGATAAGAAAGAGATAATAGTAAGATATGCAGCAGTAGCAATACATTTCCAAATTCCGTAACAGTGCAATGTATACATTTTCTGGAAAAAAAAATGTGCATTTAAATGTCACGGTTTTCTCTTCAGGAAGTTGAATACAGTAATTCAACTTTGGGCATGCGGAAAACTTTAGTGTGCATTATTACTCTGGGAACAGAAAACATTTTCAATCCTTGTATGACCTGCAAATTATTCTTCTTTTCCTTCCCCTCTGCAAAATTTTCTGAGTTATCACCGAGAACGTTCTCAACACCTGCAGAACTGCTAAAAAGGAAAGCATCAGAATGGCTAATGCTCTTTCCACACAACCACAAGGCTGTCTATCTAATCATCGCTAACATTTTTGCACCATCGCTTTCCAAGTGTTGTTCCATTCTTCTTCCTGCAGTTGGCCAATAGGGCTTCATTAAAAAATACAGGTTAACTGGTGAGGGGTCCTTAGTGCACTCTGAGCTTGGTTGTTTTCTTACAGCATTGATGATGTTACCTAGTTTGGTTAACAAAACGGCAAGAAAACAACCAAGCTTGGAGAGCACCAAGAACCCCTCATTTCAACCCTGTGCTACAAATAGTCGCTTTTATAGGTGCCATGTTAACTGGTACCCTACCCCTACTTTCTTATTTTCATGTTGCATTTACCTTTTTATGGGATTAGGATTTTCCCCCCAAAAAGAATCTGATCATTCTGCAGTGGCACAAAAAAACCTCCATCTCTCAAAACAGCCTGAAAGTCGTGTAAATTATCACATCAACAGTTTCATTTCAAAAGGGAATGGAAGATCTTGGGAACGGGAAGCTGAGGAAGATAGGAATACTAAGTAGGAACTGTCTATCCTAGGGAGGATATGCTAGGAGGATATGACACAAATATGCCTTTCCTTTAGATTAGTGGCCAATTAACGTCTGAATTTAATTGGCTGAGAAGGAAAAGACTGCCAGGAGCTCCAAAGTATTGTGATGGTGCATAAGGGCAGTGCCTATCTCAGATCAGTAGGGAAAGGTTCTAGATCCATGAAATCATAACTAAGCCTACGAGGATGTCAACTTTTCAAAACATGCACACATAATTAAGCATGACAGTTTAATATGTTGATACATTTCTACCACTCCCAACTGTTATCCCAATGTCATTACTGCTTTACCGAAACTCAACATGTTGACATGTATGAAGACTTGTTTAGATGCATACAAAAAAAGGGAGCAAGGCTTCAACTGTACAGCAGTAGCTTCAACTTGACATTTGTTTGAGCCATGGATGCCCCTGTAATTTTGGCTGTGCTTTGAATAAATCATGTCTAATTGAAGCAGACCCTGCTTTGACCCTGCAAAATCAAATTTCCCATTCAATATCCCCGCCACATGCAATGGAATTGAGATGTAGATTAAATCTAGTTTGAACTCAAGGGGGGTGGGCATATACTTCTGAGAGAAATGGGCTATACACCTATATTCACATGTATATGGATATATATACTGGTATATATATTTTCATACATCTATTCTTGCACATCGATTTTAATTGGGCCACTTGTCAGGATATGGTGTGTGATGTGATCTCCTTCGTTTTGTGGTCTAACTCTTCTGCGCATCCGTCTGTGACAGCCCTGTGCACAGCGAGATCTCTCATCTGTTACTCCACATACAAGAACACGGCAATGTAGGAACACTTCCTAAATGGAAAAAAAATGCATATTTATGTCTACATACTATACATACATACATACTGCTCTGACCTAGGCTTCCTTAACAAGCAGGAGGCAGGAATTACTGTCAAAACCTCTTTTATTTACACGGCTGTGAATTACGTTCATTCACAGTCAGCAACGTTTGTCCAAACAGTTTTTCAAAGGAATATTTCTCCACACACCTTATCTCGTTTGGCAAGCTGCCACGTAACTTGTTTCCAACCACAGTACAAGACAAAACTTGGAACAGAGTCTCTCAGAGTCACGGAATGAACGAATTGTTTCCTGCAAAAGCCCATTCCCTGTTCGCTCCCCTTTTATTTCCTATGGGAGGGGCCAATCACCTCCAAGGTGTGGCTTTTACTCCCGAGTTGATCCTGCTTTCTGAGTTGTTCTTGTCTTCTGGCAGCTCTGTGCATGCATGCACTGGGAACGAGCTCCAGCTGTCCCTCTGCCTCACTGCTGTCCACCTCCTTCTCTGCCTCCTGACGCAGAGTCCCCATCTGAGCTTTCCCCAGCCCCCAGGATTGGCCCAAGTTCCTCCCCAACCTTCTCACTGTCTGACTCTGCTGCCAACTCCGCTTTGCTTTTCAGACACAAAGAATATCTAAGCTTCTGACTATGGATTTTCATGCCCAAAATTGAAAGAAGCAGACCTGCCCCCTCCCCCTGGAGATTGACAGTCTAAGAGACATGTATTCATTTTGCCTTAGCTGCAGTTCTTGGTACAATATTTTGAAACTTCTCTCATTCAGGAGGTGAATACAGAAGGTAGAAGACAGTAGAAGCAATATGAGCCTGGTGGAATCTTATTTGCATTGAACCTTCAGCCACCCCGTAATATGGAGCAGACATTAATCCAGCAACAATCTTTACCTCAAACATAAGATACACATGCAAATGTAAATTAAATATGTCTGTCCAACAGTAGGTGCGAGCTTCAGAGAATGAGTCAGAACATTTTGGTTGGAAATCTTTAAAAACAGCCAGATTTTATATCGGTTTAGGTAACAATAGTATTTTACTCCTGAACAAAAACTTAAAAGGAGTAATGTTGTTAATGCCTTTTCAAGAAAAACTGATGATACCTCTACGCTGTAGAATAAAACCTTGTTTCCCTGTCATTCTTTCCTTGAAATTTTGAAATTGCTGGGGTGCCAGGTATTTGAAACTCCTTGTTGAATGTTATGGTTAGTGCCATAAAATGTGTAGTGATAATGAATTCTTAGGATGAACAGCCCATCTATATTTATTGATCTTGCAAACATTGTTAAGAAGTGCTTGCACATGAGAAGTTCTTGTTTCAGAACAGAGAGTTTTGATGTCACCCAATCTAAAATAATAGTACAAAATTTCCAAGGGAAGCAAGCTGTGAAATCATCTATTTGGTGGAATGGGTGGTGTTTAGCGACCATATCTCAGACGGTCCATTTCATCTGAACAACAGCTCAGGAGAAAGAAAATATGGTAGGTATGGGAAATAGAAGAAGAAAACAGCAGGGTTAGGCAAGATTTGAAAGCATTTCAATTTGGTTTTGCCTCTAAAGCGCTGTTTAATTAATTTAAATCCTCATTTACCAACAATATTCGTTCTCATGTTCTCCTATCAAAAGTGAGAGAAGATCTTGGTGGCATCTGGATCTTCTGCTAGTCCATTTCAATAGACTTCTGACTTTGTCAGCTCTCCTGAAATTCATGAATTTGAGTTTTTGCTCACCTTATTATCTTTACCCACAAATTTGAACACTGGGACCTGAAAGTGTTTAGCCAGATGATCCTTTGATGTGTACTGCTTTATGGAATCATCCGAAACGCAGCTGAAGAGAAAGGGAGAGAAGAAAAATGTCAACAGCTTTCATAGATTGATGTCCAAAAGACAGAAGATATTTTAGTGCCTTCCAGGGAGGCTGGCAGGCACTCATATTGCTGCCTTAACTCTACTGGTAGGTCAGCCAAGACTGAAGATGAAAAAAACAGAACGGGAGTCTAATTACATTGCCAGAAATCTAAAAAAATACCCATTGCAATAAAAAAAAGATTAAAAGAATGCATTAGGCTTCCTTCACAGTCTGGATTTGCAGTTCTGCTAATGACCAAAAGATTTACCAGCATCCTAAATCAAAGAAATCCTTAGCCAACCTTTGATTTTTTTTCCAACAAAGATATAGATATGACTCAGAGACGTGGCAAAACCAAAAAACTAATGGACAAAATATTGTAGGATTTTTTTTCTTCCCAAATACGTGGGATGAATGAAAACACATCAAATAATTTTTCCTGATAATTTTTAACCTGAACTTTTCTGTTAACTTTTGTATATTTCTTTAAAGTGCATTGCAAATCCTTGAGTTGGAGAAAATTTTAAAACATGGGTTGGAAAGTGGACCTTTTGAATGTAGAGGATACATTCAATATCCTCTGATTAATTATTTTGTGATTGGCGAATAATCAGCTGTGTTTACAAAGAGGGAAACATCAAAATGGCTGCCACACTCTTGGGATCAAAGCCTTGTGTCCAGTGGTGGGATTCAGCCAGTTCTCACCACTTTCGGGAGAACAGGTTATTAACTTTCTGAGCAGTTTGGCAAACTGGTTGTTGGAAGAAATCATTAGGGCAGAGAACCAATTGTTAAATTATTTGAATCCCACCACTGCCTATGTCCCTTTTGAATGTACACTGTGATGCACCACAAAAAAAAGTGAGACATCAATCAGAGAGCTGTGGCAGCCATCTTCATTTCCTGCCAGACACTCCTGCAAATAACTAAGACATTTATCTGAGAGAAAAGAAATAGGCAACAGAATACATTATTCTCAAGTCATTTTGTTCCATTATGCTTATAAGGTTTCAGGATTTCTGAGTCCAAAAGTTGAATTAATCAAATGATTACAGACATCTTTGTTTGTTTGTTTGTTTGTTTTGTCAATGTGTAATAGCTTCTGAGCCTTAATGGAGAATCAAAACCAACTGAATTAATATAAGGAAAGTAGACTGAGGAAAGCAAAATGAATTTCTTTGAAAAATGAGATGTCATTCTAAGGACACAAAAATACTGAGAATGAGCCGATACTTGGTGTTGTTATTCCTCAGTGTCTAGCTTCTTGTGTGGCTGTGGCTGTGTCTTCAAAGAAAAGGTATATTCTTTGGTGGTGAATGATAACACAATGGAATGCTTACCAGCAATCTAATCTCCAGAATGCAGACTTTGAACATTATAAAACTTGCTACACAGGACAAAAAGCAAAGGAAAAGTACTATACGTGTCTTACATGGAAATCACCTTTGCCTCTTGGAATCTGACATAAATTGCTCATTAATTGCATTTATGAGAAGAGGCTATCAGGCAGAACCTGAATTTTCAGGATAGGATTGTTGTTCCTTGTATTATTGCTAGATGGGGCGGGGGAATCATTTTGTAAGCATATCAAGGAAAGTTCAACAATTATTTCTGTGGTAAGTACCCAAGACAGGCTTGGAAAAATAAAATAGCCCACTTAAGAAAATATTGCTATCTTTGCTCGTTAAAGCCTATGCTATAATAAATCAATTGTTTTAAAGATACCACTAGATTCTTCACTGTTCTTGCAATTCTCAAAGACTTTTTATAAACAGGACTAGATGACCTATAAGGTCCCTTCCGACTCTGTTGTTCTGTTATTATTCTGTTATTCAGAAGTTGTGGGAGCTTCATCCCTGGAAGCTTTCAAGAAGAGACTGGACTGCCATATGTCAGTTCTATATTCAATGGAACAGAAGTTGCCTTCAGAAGTTATGGGAGCTTCATCACTGGAAGCTTTCAAGAAGAGACTGGACTGCCATCTGTCTGAAACGGCATAGGGTCTCCTGCTTGGGCAGGGGGTTGGACTAGATGACCTGCAAGGTCCCTTCCAACTCTGTTAATCTGTTACAGTGCAGTTGCACATATTGAGCAAGGTCGGTTCCAACATTTTCTTCAGCATCTTAAAAGATCAGATGGAACCACTCTCTTAAGTCACAGCTATAAAAGCCATCTGTTCAAGTACAATTTCAAGGATTACTTCCCCCTGAAGTTTTTTTTTTTACATGCTTCTAGTTATTAGGCCATTGGTTTTTATTACAAAGAGAGAGAAAGAGAGGGAGGGAGGGAGGGAGGGGAGAGAGAGAGAGGGAGAGAGAGGGAGAGAGGAAGTGGGGGGGAGAGAGAGAGAGATATCAAATGAATACTCTGTCTTCTGAAATGAATACTCTGTGAGAACTTTAAAAAAATCAATGGCACCTGGAATATGGATTATGTTCTACAAAGAAAGCTGAATGGCAGAAAATTCCTTGCTTAAGTGGCAGGAAAGGAGCTGCTTTGGATTATGAGGCCCACCTAGGTTTACTCCAGGGAGTAGTTCTTTCAAGGCCCACCTTGGAGGGTATGGAACAGATGAGGAGAAATTCAAAAATTCAAGGAGGTTGCTATCCAAATTCAAAGCCTCGCCCATTTTTTTGGATGTGTATTATAGATAAAAAGGGTGCGGCTTTGATCTCAAAATCACAGCTGCCTCTTGTTTTGTTTTTAGCCCTACAACAGATGCTCCTTAATGCTTTTTTTTCTCCATTTCTCTAATGTTTGATCAACGCGTGTCTTGTGATTAACAACAGAACAACTCCAAAGACAAATGGAAGGAAGACACAGAAGCAATGGTAAGGAATCCAAATAGATTCCAACACCGAAGACTAGGACTGAATTAACTTTAACATATATTTCCATTGTGTTGTAATTTTAGCATTACAATAATAAGAATGCCAGAATAGCAGTGGCAATAGCAATTAGACTGATATACCTCTTCATAGTGTTTACAGCCTTCTCTAAGCAGTTTACGGAGTCAGCATATTGCCCCCAACAATCTGGGTCCTTATTTTACTGACCTTGGAAGGATGGAAGGCTGAGTCAACCTTGAACCTGTCAGGATCGAACTCCTGGCTATGAGCAGAGTTAACCTACAATACTGCATTCTAACCACTGTGCCACCAGGGCTCCAGAATGCCAATTTAGTAAATTTTCCCCCATGTCACTTTATGTCAGTGAGATTCAATGAACTTCATAAAACATTTATGAAGGAACTTGGCATTGTTATTCACAAATGAAAATTTAAATTTACAGTATGAGCTTAGGGATAATACATCTAAAATTGTTTCATAAATAACAGGTATAAAGATAATCCCTAGGGGAACTTATAAATGTACGAAGTGCATCAGAAAACAACAGCACCAATGTAAATTAAGAGACCGGATAAACACCAGATGCTACATAAGATCTTCTTTGAAGGCATGATTACTTTAGAGTGATTTAAAAGGGTACTTTATTTTGTTATTTTTTTTTAAAAAAAAATAGAACCATTTAATAGATATTCAGCATGAAAATGTCATTAATTGCTTATTCCTGAAAAACCAACTTTATATTTTAGGAACTGTATTTGCTAGGATGGAATGCAGTCCATTCAAGTTTATGGCATAAGAAATTGGCTAATATTTATAGTGCTACAAGACTTTTAGAGGCACAACCCATTATGTTAAAAAATGTCATATCTTCCACTTCTTATTGAAATAGCCTAGTCTAGTAAGAGATACAGTATGTCCTTAATGGCAGGCAAACTGGCTTTTTAAGAACACAAGTGGGAAATCTTTTTTTTTATTATTATTGTGCTTCACTTGGGTATCTTTCTTCATCAAAAGCCTTCTGCAGAGTTTCCACAGTTTACGATCACATGTGCAGGTAAGAACTGGCTCTATAGCATTCCTGTGCAAGGCCCTCCTTTAACACCAAGGTGGTTTCTAAATGAATTTCAGCAGCAGAGAAAACAATTATTACGTGGAATTTGAGTTTAACAGATTAACAGAGTTGGAAGGGACCTTGTAGGTCATCTAGTCCAACCCCCCGCCCAAGCAGGAGACCCTACACCATTTCTGACAAATGGCAGTCCAATCTCTTCTTGAAAGTCTCAAGTGATGAAGCTCCCACAACTTCCGAAGGCAACTTCTGTTCCATTGGTTGATTGTTCTCACTGTCAGAAAATTTCTCCTTATTTCCAGGTTAAATCTCTCCTTGTTCAGCTCATTCCCTTTCACACTCCCAGAAAACAAAAGCTTTTATTTTTTAAAATGACAATCTTTATTCTATATTTTTAGCATGTTATCATGCCAAATTAAAAGGGACAATAAATATAACAGCATTTTGCAGCGTATTGAATTCTCCCGCTAATGGGAATGAATAGTAAAACCGGCAGGAGGCTCCGTCCACCGACCCTGATGTCATCAGGAAGATTCTGTGCATGCCCAGAAGTGCACACGAGCAAAGAGCGCGCATGTGTGCGGCCCTGTTGCAAACCAGTAGTAAAGGTAAGTAGAACCCACCCCTAGTTTCCATCCATTATTCCTTGTCTGGCCTACAGATGTTTTAGAAAATAGCTTGACCCCTTCCTCTTTGTGGCAGCTCCTCAAATATTGGAAGATTGGAAGACTGTTATCATGTCTCCCCTGGTCCTTCTCTTCACTAGATTAGCCATGCCCAATTCCTGTAACTATTTTTCATGTGTTTTAGTCTCCAGTCCAGTTAGCTTCCATCTACATAGTAAGTGTACTCCTAGTTTCCAAGCTGGGTGTCAGCTGCCACCTCATGCTTGCGTTTTACTATCGCTTAGTGACAGTCTCCTGCCCCACTACAGGAGTGGGGGTTGGGGTTGGATGGAAGGGGGGGTTTCAAGGGAAACGAAAAGTTCACTGTATCTCCGTGTGATGCGATTTCAAGGTCACCCGGCTGGGAACGGAACATAGCTGCATGCCAACCTACATTTGAAGTGACCATTCAAAAAACATCTTCTTTGAATTTGATTGGACACGGGGGGGAGGGGTTCCAACATTGGGAGACACTTAAAGGAAGGAAAAGTTAGACTTGGGGATTTTTGCGCACAATTTTCAGTTCTGGCTTTGTATTATTGTAATTCACTTGACTTCTAGTAAACTATACCTTTCTCAACAAATGGGGTCAAGGATCATTTTTACTTAGAGGGTCAAGCTGAGGCAGGTCTGACACTAGGTTTCAAAGGAGGAGTAATTAACCCCACATCTTTTGCAACAAGTTTTGTGGTTTGTTTGGGTTGTCCCCAAACTTGAGCCTTTACGCGGTATGTGTTAGGATAATAATTTCCAGTTCATTAACCATAAGAGTAGTTTAGTATAATGAGTAAATGCTTCCCCCCCTTCCATCTGCTTACAGGATTTATATTTTAAGAGACCCCAACTGTTCATTTAATCTCTCATTTCTCTAAAAGGAACACTATACCCTTAGACTTGCCTAAACATTATAGTTAACTTGCAATGATGGGTGGCTCAAGACTGCCATTTCCTGTTGCTGTTGCTTTGGGTTTTTTTATTTGTGCTTGCTGTCATTTTATTATTTATGAACATTGATGTTCAGCAGGGCATACAAATACTTGGAATCTGAATTTTGAGCATTCTGAAACATGGAACAAACTAATGAAAATGATAAAGAAATCAAGAATTATTCTACAGTTCTTGAGTCAAGCTGCGATTAGTTTTAATATTTTGAAACTAGTTATCTGTTAACTAGTCCAGGAGCAACTCATTTGAAAGCAGTCAGAGATATTGTGAATTTGTTACTGCTTTTACACAATCTCTCCCTAATCTGTTTGAGTCCATTTGTAACTTGAGGCTAAATCATAAATTTAACCAGTTTGGGAAAGTTCTATTCACTCCAGTTGAACACAGATATTTACATGGTAGCTTATTAAGGCTCCTAGTTGCATTGAGTTTGTACTTCTTTTAATCAACCCTGATCTTTCATGATCTCTCTGGTCATCACCAAGAAGATTAGGGGGCATATGGCCACTTCATTTAGATATAAGGTGAGACCAACATACCCTGTTTCCCCCAAAATAAGACATCCCCTGATAATAAGCCCAATTGGGCTTTTGAGCGCATGACAATAAGGCCAAGCACTTATTTCAGGATTCAAAAAAATATAAGACAGGATGTTATTTTCAGGGAAACATAGTACTTCTTCTCATGTTTCTGGTATGTCCTTTTATCATACTTGAAAAAGTATTAGTTTTACTAGCTTGTGTTTCCTAATCATTCTCTTTTCCTCTAGCCACCTTGTTGTGTCACATTTTCCTCTCTATTGCTCAATTTTTCTGCCCCTGCACTAGTTTGTGGTTCGTTTGAGATATTTTGCCATCTCTGGATGTCTGTTCTCAAAAGTCAGTCTTCAAATCTCTTGGCCAATCCTCCCCGCTCTCTCTCTTATACATAGTCATATTGGTTTGGGCTACCTAACCACATGGATAACAAGACTTTGAATCAAATTTCATATAGGGTGATATAATATATAGAACATCATATACATGTAATTATACTGTACAACTTAATGTTTACAATACATTGTAAATACAATACAATACAAATCCTTATTTATCCAATGAAAAACAATTACCATAAAATGCCTGCCTTGAGTTATGTATAGAATGGGATAAAGATGGGATAAAATATAATATTAAAATAACAATTGTTAATAACAAAGTCAAAAAAGTTCAGCTAGTGGATATTATAATACGAGGAGACAGCAAAATAGAAAGAAAAGGAGAAGATTACAATATGATTTGAGATTTCTATTTGACCTAAAAACAGAAGTTGAATTACTGTGGCAAAAGAAAACAAAGATAGTACCAATAATAATAGGTACCTTGGGTACAATCCCAAAACAACTGGATCACCACTTGAATACCATCGGCATTGACAAAATCATCATCAGTCAATTGCAAAAGATAGCACTGCTTGGAACACCTTATATCCTGCAACGATACCTCTAATACCACCTACAACATGTGCCTATCCCAGGTCCTTGGGAAGGACTCAATAGCCAGATAAAAATGCCAAATCCGGTCTAAACATCTGGCTGAGTGTGCCACCAATCCATTAAAAATGGATAGAAACCAAGAGTCAATGCTTATGTATGAACAATTCTCATACAAAAAACGAGAAGTCCTTCGCAAAGGCAAAAGGACTGGGCTCTGTTTTGAGGCCTGCAACAGCGATAAAAGATTATTCTGCTCATTAATGTTAAATATGCTCTAATGATGGGTGAACAGCTGGGTTACATAAAAAGGGTAAATGTCTTTAATTACGGCCACCAAATTGTTCAAGCATTATCACGAGAAAGGGAAGTTTCTCTGCTAAACAGTATTATAATTTTAATTGTAAATGAGAGCCAGTTTGGTCTAGTGGTTCAGGCTAGAAAATGGAAGGCTATGTGTTCAAATCCTGGCTTCGCCATGAAAGCCAGCTGAGTGACTTAGGGCCACTTACTTCTAGCCCAATCCACCTCACAGAATTGTTGTTGTTGTGGGGTAAATATATTTGCTGCCTTAAGTTATTTGTAAAAATAATAAAGGTGGGATACCAATAAATGCCTTTCATCTATTTGTTCAGCCTCTGCTTTCTTTTTATGGAGTGGATAGTTTTGCCTGCATAATCATGACCGCTGGCCTTTGTTCTACAGTATTTTTTGGAGTATAAGGCGCACCTTAGTTTTTGGGGAGGAAAATAAGAAAAAAGCTGATTGGCAGGTGAATCAGCCTCCCGGAATTCCCCCAATCAGCTGTTCCCAGAGGTGAATTTTAGCAACAGGTTCCTTGGTTGTGAGCTCTGTGTCTTGCTTTTTTTTCTGCCTCTGAAACTTCTGAAACAGCTTCAGAAAAAAAGTCTCCAAGCAGAGCTTCACAAAAGAAGCCTCCAAGCAGAGCTTCAGAAAAGAAGCCCCCAAACAGAGCTTCAGGAAAAAAAGCCTCCAAACAGAACTTCAGAAAAAAAGCCTCCAAACAGAGCTTCACAAAAGAAGTCCCCAAACAGAGTTTCAGGAAAAAAAGCCTCCAAACAGAACTTCAGAAAAAAAGCCTCTGAAGCTCTGTTTGGGGGCTTCTTTTCTGAAGCTCTGTTTGGAGGCTTTTTTTCCCTGAAGCTCTGTTTGGGGGCTTCTTTTCTGAAGCTCTGCTTGGAGGCTTTTTTTCTGAAGCTGTCTTGGAGGCTTCTTTTCTGAAGCTTTGTTTCTGATGCTTTTTTCAGCCTCTGAAACCTCGATTTGAGAAGCTTTGTTTCTGATGCTTTTTTCAGCCTCTGAAACCTCGATTTGAGAAGCTGGGCAGGGCTACATTCAGAATATAAGACGCACCCAGATTTTCATCCTCTTTTTTAAAGAAAAAAGGTGTGTCTTATATTCCGAAAAAATACAGTAATTTCTCTGTTGGCCAAAAGGCATACTGACAGTCTTAGGAAAGATTTGAATTCCTTTCCCCCCCTCAAATTTAGTTGACTAAATAATCAAAGGACCTCAGTTTTAAATCTCAGATCAAAGACAAAAATAGTGAATGCTTACCCATCTCGAATTAAGTGGTACTTCAGGATCTCGTCTGTTTTGGATGTAGGGGTAGCAAAACAACTCTCCACCAATGTCTCCAGACCATTGACGTGCACCAAGGGCTCAATCCCAAAATATAAAGAGTCTCGGAGTTTAAGAGTGGGAAGGGAATCCCCATAGGACTCTTCAAAATCTTTGTCTTTGAATATCTCAAGAGTGAAAGGGAAGACACCTTGATTGTGCCCCATAATTTCCAGTGGCAAATTCTTGACATTGGGGATATAGCCTTCTGAGATGGTGTAATGGCGAGGAAATTCACAAGTCACAGGGATCAACAGCTTTCCTGTCCGGACAATGATGTCCCCGTTACTGCCGGGTCTTTGCTTTGGCAAGCCAGTGACCATATTGGTAGCAACTATTTTGTCATTTACTACCTGTAGACAGAGGGCAAAGATGGTATAGTAAAGTTAGGCGCAGTGGTGGAATTCAAATTTTTTTACTACAGGTTCTGTGGGTGTGGCTTGGTGGGCATGGTGTGGCTTGGTGGGCGTGGCTTGGTGGGCATGGCAGGGGAAGGATACTGCAAAATCCCCATTCCCACCCCACTCCAGGGGAAGGATATTGGAAAATCTCCATTCCCACCCCACTCCTGGGGGAAGGATATTAGGTGGACTGCTTGAATAAAAGAATATGTCAGGAACAACATTATTCAATATCACCTGGACTAGGTAATCATCTGCAAGAATACAAAAAATAAAATAAAAAATAACAACTAGCCAAAAAGGGAACTCAAGAACCAGATACCAGCCATTTAGGATTTTATTTTTTGTATTTATCTCTTTTAAGAATACATTTCTAGCCCACATATTAGAAGGGCTGTGTGGAGTCTCTGCTAATAAGCTATGCATGACTAATAAGGTTTCCAGGGTTAATGAGCAGGGCTGGTTATATTATTATCTACCATAAACAAACAAAGCATATTAGAAGAATAAGTGAAATGAATAGCGCTCATAGATCATGAAAATTCTGCTTAAACAATGACTTCTTAGAAAAGTAAAATATTCCAGTATTTATTATTTTCATTAAAACCGGTTTACAGTTAATTAAAAATGCCCTTCTGAGAGAAATTGGTATTCTGTTAGGTCTAACAGGATTATGCCATAACCTAGCACAAAAGTCAAATTTTAGCAAGTTACAAAAACCGAGTGCAGAATTCATCAAGAAAGGCAAAAGATAAGCATAGTGAATATCCCGGCCTACAATAATAAAAGAAAAGTCCCTTTCTTGCTTCCATTAAATTTGTTTCTAATTGCATATCGTCAAATAACTTATATCACAGTGGCAGTAGTGAAATTCAATTTTTTTTTCTTCTAGTTCTGTGGGTGTGGCTTGGTGGGCCGTGGTGTGCCCCCCCCCTCGGTCCAAGCAGGAGACCCTACACCAGGGATGAAATGCTCCCGGTTTGGACCGGATCACCTGATCCGGTAGCGATGGAGGCAGGTGGTTTGGAGAACCGGTAGCAAAAATCCCTGGGTCCCCCCTCCCCATTGCCCAGCTGAGCAGCGCAATCATCAGAGGGATTTTTTTTTAATTTTTAAAAGTATTTTTTCTACAACCTCTTTGGCCGAAAAAATGCTTTTAAAAGTAAAAAAAAAAAAAAAGCCTCTGATGATCGCGCGGCTCAGCTGGGATCATCAGAGGCTTTTAAAAGCATTTTTTCTACAACCTCTTCCGCCGAAGACGTTATAGAAAAAATGTTTTTAAAAGGAAAAAAAGCCTCTGCCGATCAGGCAACTCAGCTGGGATCGTCAGAGGCTTGTAAAAGCATTTTTTACAACCTCTTCAGCCGAAGACGTTGTAGAAAAAATGGTTTTAAAAGTAAAAAAAAAAAAAATGTTGGCCACGGCCACTCAGTCATATTACCCCCCCCAAGCCACGCCCACAGAACCGGTAGTAACAAATTTTACATTTCTGTATTTTCTCCTATTCAGGTTGCTCCTGAATGAAACAAGGGAACAAGCATTCCGAAAGCTTGGAGAAATTTCCTTTTCTTAGGATGCTTTAGCAAGGTCATAGAGTGGGATTGGCATAAACAACCCTCTAAGTCTGTCCCACTGATCTATAGATTTTTTTAAACAACGACGGCCTTTGCAAAGTGGCAGAGAAGCAGGTTGAAAGCAAAAGGTTGGGAAATTTTTTTTTTGCTCCACACAGTTGCTAGGCAATCTATATATAGAGCAGTTACTTAGGTCTGCACCTCCAGTGACAGATGCGTCCATTTATTTAAAGTATGCTAAAGCCACTGTGGAAAATTCAGTAATGAAGGAATAAAGGATAATGGCTGGACCGAAGTGCAGCGAGCCAAGCTGACACTTCACTTGGATACACAGCAGTGACCAAAATTGTGGAAAACTTTTGGGAAAAGTGTATTTTCTAAAACTAGCTAATAATACCACTTTTTTTTTGGAGTAGTACCATAAAATTATATATCAATGAAAAGATAATTTGTTCAAGAATGTAATGCAATAACTTTTATGAAGGATTTGCTATTAGAATAGCAGTGACAGTATAAAGAAGACAAGTGAAACACACAGAAAAAACGAGACATACAAAAATTACATCGAAAAAACGAGATATACAAAAATTATCACCATAGAAAAAACGAGATATACAAAAATTATCACCATGTCAGTTAATACTTAACCTTTAGCATGAATTAGGGCCTTACAACGTCTTCCCATGGAGCGAACCAAGTCTTTTAGTTCTGCAGCTGTTATAATGTGAAACCAGGATTGAATGATGGCTTCTATTAACTGGGTTTTATTGCTGAGTCGCTTCTGACTAGCTGACTTTAGTCGGCTCCATAGATTTTCAATTGGGTTAAAGTCTGGGCTATTCCCAGGCCATTCCAGCAGTGGAATAGGATTATCTTGAAACTCCAAAAAAAGGAGTGTTATTAGCCATCAAACCTCAAAAATACACTTCTCCCACTACTGTAGTCCTCAATACAGGCAATCCTCGAATTACAGCAGTTGATTTAGTGACCGTTCGAAGTTATAACGGCAATAAAAAAAGCGACTTATGGACATTTTTCACACTTACGACCGTTGCAACATCCCTACGGTCACATGATCAAAATCCGGACACTGGGCAACCGACTCGTATTTGTGAGGATTGCAGTGTCCCAAAGTCATGTGGTCCCCTTTTGCGACCTTCTAACTAGCAAAGTCAATAGGGAAGCCAGATTCACTTAACAACCATGTTACTACTGTTAGGAAATGAGTATTACCTACCTTGTTGGGCTGGCAATATATAAACCATCAATATAGCTTTAAGACTGCTGTATTGTATCATACTGTGTCCTGATTGGTTAGCTCTGTAGCCAATCTCCTTAAGAGGGAGCTAGAAACATGGTTTGTTTCTCTTTGCTGTTCTTGCTCTCTGATATCTCTATGCTACTGTTTGCAAATCCAAAAGAACTGTTTATTGTGAATGACTACGACGACCGATAAGAAGACTTTGTTATTGGATTATCCCTGGACTGTCGTTTTGCTATCTCCTGCATTATATGTGTATGACCTGGACTGTTTATTGGACTGCGTCTTACTATTTCCTGAAAGTAAACACAACTCAGTGTATCTGTGTGTTGACTGTCTTTATTCGTACCTATTCTCAATCGCTTTCATGCGTACACCCTTGCTATTCAAGGGTTATTCTGTGAATACCTTAACAACTACCGTAATTTAACAAGGGCAGTGATTCAGTTAACAATTGTGGCATGAAAGGTCATTAAATGCGGCAAAATTCACTTAACAACTGTCTCACTTAGCAACAGAAATTTTGGGCTCAATTGTGGTCGTAATTCGAGGACTACCTGTAGACACCTTTGGCCCAGTTGCTCTTTTAGTTGCTCTATCTCAAAAGGTTGTATTGTGTGCATAAAATAAGAAGAGATTCCCATGGACTGCACCTTGAGCTCTCAAGTGGAAATATAGGATATCAATGCAAGACCAAAACAAATAAATACAATCAGTACATACATCTATAGATGTTCCACAGGTTTTCAGAGAGAAGATGAGGTTGACATGAGTGCCATTGGATACTCCTTTGCAGGAGCCATTGGAAAGCGAGAGGTCCATTCCCCCAACGAGATCCTTGGGAATGTTCACTTCTATAGATGTAGATTTACATATAACTGGAACTGTAAGAAGGAACACAGCTAGTAAGTGAGTTGGAAGTTAAAACATTGCCTTTCTTGTAAGATGAAGGGTTTTTTAAAAATATCTGTCACTTCTAAATCAAATGTTTCCAGATTCTGGCCTGGGGAAATGATGCTTCGATATACCGTGATGGCACAGTAGTTAGAATGCAGTATTGCAGGCTGACTCTGCCAACTGCCAACAGTTCGATTTTCACCAGTTGACTCAGCCTTCCACCCTTCCAAGGTCGGTAAAATGAGGACCCAGATTGTTGGGGGCAATATGTTGATTCTGTAAACTGCTTAGAGAGGGCTACAAAGCACTGTGAAGCAGTATATAAGTCTAATTGCTACCATGTTTTCCCCAAAATAAGACCTTATATTATATTAATTTTTGCTCCAAAAGATGCATTATGGCTTATTTTCCGGTTAAATCTTATTTTGGGGGAAATACAGTATTAAACACCTCCGTCTGCTGGCAATCTTAACTGGGGCTTATTTTTGGGGTAGGGTTTATATTACGAGCATCCTGAAAAATCATGCTAGGGCTTATTTTCCGGTTGGGTCTTATTTTTGGGGAAACAGGGTATTCCTAGTGCTTGAATATAAAATGGTTGGATGGCCATTGTTACAGAAAGCAATGGTATTTGGGATGAGTAATTTAAAATACACAACAAAGGACCAAGAAGGCTTACTGCCTTCTTTTACAGTGTTATTGGACCATTGTATCTGCATCCTGATAGAAGTGTAATTTTGTCATTAACTTTGAGGCTGAGAAGTTTCTCCCCCAAAAAATGGGGTGGAGATTTTGAATTAATTCAATCAACAATTAACTCATGACAAAAGAATTGAATAATGGCTGCTTCAGGCAAGCCATTCTTACGACACTGGAAGCTAAAACATATGAACAATGTTTGCAGAAACTGGTGTGTCTATTCCAGTGGTGAAATCCAATTTTTTTTACTACCGGTTCTGTGGGCGTGGCTTGGTGGGCGTGGAGGGGAAGGGTACTGCAAAATCTCCATTCCCACCTCACTCCAGGGGAAGGATATTGCAAAATCTCCATTCCCATCTCACTCTAGTGGAAGGATACTTCAAAATCCCCATTCCCTCCCCACTCCTAGGGCCAGTCAGAGGTGGTATTTGCCGGTTCTCCGAACTGCTCAAAATTTCTGCTACTGGTTCTCCAGAACCTGTCAGAACCTGCTGGATTTCACCCCGGGTCTATTCTAATGAAGAGAAGGACTAGGAGTGACATTCCAATATCTCAGGGGCTACTACAAAGAAGAGGGGGGGGGTGTCAACCTATTTTCCAAAACAGCCGAAGGCAGAACAAGAATGGATGGAAACTAATCAAGGAAAGAACCAACCTAGAACTAAGGAAAAATTTCCTAATAGTGAGAACAATTAATCAGTGGAACAGAAGTTGCCTTCAGAAGTTATTGGTGCTCCATCACTGGAGGTTTTTAAGAAGAGATTGGACAGCCATTTGTCTGAAATAATATAGGGTTTCCTGCTTGAGTAGGGGGTTGGACTAGAAGACCTCAATGGTCTCCTCCAACTTTCTTACTCTGTTATTCTTTCTGTGGGTTTGTAGTGGACCAGAAGTATTGGACAGTAGCTTCTATAATTCCCAAGGAAACTGACCTGCTGACTGCTGCCTCCCACCTAAGCAGAATATTGATAGAAATCTTCGCTTACACCCGCTCCTGGCTCTGTGTAAGCTGTACTGTGATCCAGCCTGCCTTCTGGGGCTCAGTAACTCTAAAACCAGCCAGCCAAACCTATCAATAGTTCAGCTGGAAATCTGAAGCTTATGGTCCAGGTGGAACAGAGGTCCAGCAGGTGCACCCCACCCCAAAAAAGAAAGATTCCTCAATGCAGTGAGGCCATGCTTGCCGCAACTCTCAGTTCCAATCATTCTCACTGCCCTTCCAGCAGCTCATCATACACCACACATCTGTAGTGGCAGCAGTGCAGTGGCAATGCTAACTCCAGCTGCCACGAGACTGACATGAATGGAATTGGTGAGACCGTCAGCCCAACCTTAACCAGACATGAAGGCAAGAAACACCAAGCTGAAAGATTGGAGGGACTTCCCTAAACTTCTCCCAAAAGAATATTAAAAAAAAAAAATCTTTACTGCTCCCTTGAGCTTTGGAGGCCAAAGTTTTTTCTTTCTTTCTCTGAAAGGAAGTTTCCAAGAAAATTGCACATCCTTAATGCTTGTCCCTGTCTCCCTTCTTAGACAGGGAGAATAATATATTATAATAGGAAAGGAAAGGGAAATTGAATGCAGGGCATGGTTTTGCATGCATATGCCTCTCTCTCTCCCTCTCCCTCCCTCCCTCTGTCTCTGTGTCTGTCTGTCTCTCTCTTTCTCCTTCTCCAGTGGTGAAATCCAATTTTTTTACTAACGGTTCTGTGGGCGTGGCTTGGTGGGAGTGGGTGTGGTTTGGTGGGCATGGCAGGGGAAGGATACTGCACAATCTCCATTCCCACTCCACTCCAGGGGAAGGATACTGCAAAATCTCCATTCCCCCCTCTCCAGGGGAAGGATACTGCAAAATCCCATTCCCTCCCCACTCCTGGGTGAAGGATATTGCAAAGTCTCCATTCCCACCCCACTCTGGGGCCAGCCAGAGGTGGTATTTGCCAGTTCTCCGAACTACTCAAAATTTCCGCTACCGGTTCTCCAGAACCTGTCAGAACCTGCTGGATTTCACCCCTGTCCCTGTCCCTCTCTCCCTCCTTGTCTCTCCTTCTTTCTCCCTTTCCCTCTCTCCCTCCCTTTTCCTTCCTCTTTTGATGTCTACTTTCATGCTCCAAGTAGACTCCTGGTGGTGTACAATTAAAAGAACAACAAAATTTTCCTGGGTAGAAAAACAATATACTACTGGAATTAAAAGCCATATTAGAACAGGTCACTCCCTTGAGAGACATCTGTGGGAGGGAATAAAAGGGTAAAAAGAAATACAGCGGGCAGCTCTCTCTGTGCAATTAAATTTCCTTCCTTTTTAATAGAGGGACGCCCATTGTGGCCTCCCTTGTCTGCTGGACCAAAGGTATCCCTGGAATAAATTTGTTCACTAATCCATGACAAGCTAGAAGGATGGAGGTTGGATGTACTTGTGGGGGAGGGGGAGAGAGAGAGAGAGATGTTCCATAAAATGGAAGTTGCTTCTGAAAAGGCTTACTATCTTACGTGCCCACATATGTCAGAAAGTGGAGCAATGCTTATCAGGTCCTCTTGCCATGATCAAACTGGGCGCGTATGTGTGGATATGCAACTCATTGCCGCCATAAAAAGCAGCATCCAGCCCTTTAATATTAACCTCTCCTATGGAAGTGATGGTGATGGTGGAATAGGACATTATTTATGTCCATAAATCAATCATCTTTAAGTCTTCTTCAATGCTCTCTTAATGTGTGTTAGACAACCATTTCTACAATTCTTAGGAAGCCATCAAGCCAGTGGTGGGATTCAGCTGGTTCAGGTGGGTCCAGGCGAACCGCTTGTTAAATTATTTGAATCCCACCACTGCATCAAGCCATTGCCTGCCAAATCTCTTAGGTTGTTGCTCCTTATGGTTTTTAGCTGTTGACTAAGACTGATGGGAACTCAAATCAAAACTCTTTGGAGGGACCAAATTACAAGTTCTGGGCTGGCTAGTAAAATATAATGAGGATGACCTGCAGATGAAACTTAGGTTCTGATTCAGCCTTTTCAAAATGCATGTCCATGCTGATAGGACGGGGCACAGAGATAAGATAGCAATGTAACAATGATTACTACAGAACTTTAGATTCAGGAGCCACCTCAACCCTGGAAGCTCACCAGAAGATAGTTGTGGCCTTCGCCTCTTGAAGCAAAAGCAGGATATATATCTACCAAATTAACAAATTACCCTAGATCAGCCACATCCCTTTTTCCCTTTGTACCTTGGCAGGTGTGGTTGTCTTCTGACAAAACAAGACCTCGAGGGCATCCACACTGATAACTGGTTTCCAACATGTTGCATCTATGGCTGCAGCCTCCGTTGTTGTTATGACACCCTTCAATTTCTAAGGCAGAAATAATGAGTAGACAAATAATTTTTTCCCATCTAGCAGTGCCTCTGCAACCATGTCCTTTCTCTGCTCACATTGAACGGAGCTATAGGATCAGGTAAACATGAGGGGGAATTATATTCATGTATTACGCAGTCATTTAAACTGTCTACATGTTCCATTGTCCTCTTAATTGTATTGGGCAAAGATCTGTGGAGGTTTCAGGAATCTCTGCATTGAAATTAATGAGAGTTGTGCAAAGCACAGAGAACAGACAGGTGCTGTTTCAGGATTGTTCCTATTAAGCCTTAGAAAGATAAACTGTGTGAAGGAACTAGAAGCAGAAGGTCTAATAAGCTCCCGAAGCAGATCCTCAGCCGGGTGTGTGTCTACTTTGTGGAAGCAGGTCACCTTAATTGATCTTCCACAAAGAAAACTGCTCTTTGGATTTATGCTCAACCCTATTTGTGAATTCTGGGCTTTCAATACAAGATCCAGTTAGATGAAGATGTACATCTGTCTACGAAATTCTTTCCACCCACGTCTCAGCACTAAAGAAAACGCCCACTGGCACTCTAATACCTGTTCTTGGATGGAGCCTGAAAAAGGAGAAAGCTGCCATGATATTGCCCTGTCTCTTCTCTTCTCTTCTCTTCTCTTCTCTTCTCTTCTCTTCTCTTCTCTTCTCCTCCTCTTTCTTTCCCCTTCCCTTTTCTCTTCCTATTTCTCTCCTCTCCCCTCTCTTTCCTCCTCCTCTCCCCTCTACTTTCATCCCCTCTCCTTCTCTTCCCTTTCCTCCTCTTTCCTCCCCTTCCTTTCCCCGCCTTCCCCTCCCTCCCCTTCCTCTCCCCTTCCCTTCCCTTCCCCTTGCCCTTCTCTCAAACACAACCACTGATTTATAGGGTATTTTCTGGCACTTTGGACCTTATCTCTCTCATGAATCTTAAAGTCCATTAATTAAATCAATCTAGATGCAAAAGTTCAGCTAGTAATTCTAAATCATTTCCTTACCTTCACAGGTCTTTCCATCCGGTCCCAGGACACGCCCAACTCCACATTCACAGCGATAGGAGTTCTTTAGGTTAATACAGAATTCGCTGCAGCCTCCATTATTCCTTTCGCATTCGTTTTCATCTACAAGGAAACATGAGAGAAAGACTTCCAATTTAGCAGCAACGCTAAAAGCAGCTAAGAGCTGGATTGAAGGACATGAATGCTAGAGGCAACATGCAGTAATACTGTTTTTAGGTCGTCAGTTTGAAAGAAATGTATTTGTTGGGTGGAGTTTTGTCAGCGTCCTTGATGGTTGATCCATAAAAGTTAGATGTGCCTGCTTTGTGTCTGTAACCTTGATATTTTTGCACCACAAGAATACAAAAGCCAATGATTCCATTTGTGTTAAGCCTCCAAGGCTGGCTTAATACAGAAAAAAAGACCCACTTGAATTTCTAAGATCGTTCTTACTAGATTTTGCTTGAAAGCCATCCAGAGTAATTTTCTTGCTAAACCTACAGCCGTGATGGCGAACCTATGGCATGCATGCCGGAAGTGGCACGCCGAGCCATCTCTCCAGGCACGCAAGCCATGGTTCGTTGCTCTTCCGTGTTCCGGCGCGCCAGCCAGCTAGTCTTCACATGCATGGCAGCTCCGGAAACTGGAAGAGCAGCCACCCACTCCTGGCTGGCCCCACCCCGTCCACCCCTCCCCTCCCAGGAGTCCCCACGCGGCCCGTTTTGGATGCAAGTAAGTGCAGGGCACGCGCAAAGGCTTGAGGAGGGCAAAAAACAGGCCTGCTGGAAGTTCGGGCCTGCCTGTTTCCGGCCTTCAGAGCCTGAGAAGGCCATTTTCGCCCTTTCGGAGGCTCAAGGAAAGCCTCCGGAGTCCGGGGAGGGCAAAAATGCCCCCCTCCCCTGTGGTGCAGGAGGCCAACTAGGCCATACCCACCATGGCCACACCCACCCAGCAACCAGGCAGAGAACCCCTTGCTAAAAGTTTTGAAGCCCACCCCTGGTCCTCTGTATAATTAGTAAAGTCTCAGTCTCTATGAAAGCAGTGGGATCTAATTCTAACAGATTGCTGCTTTAATCAAGAACTCTGTTTTTCAAAAGATAAGACAATGAGATAAAAGGTTTCTTTTAGATGTTGGATCAGACAATGTTAATTACTCAGTGTTTATAATATTCTATGTCCTTTTGATATAGCTAGATAGATACAGTACATGTAGTGCAACTTTTTGTTGTTGTTTATGTTTTTTTGTCTTTTTCTCTGCTTTTGTCAATTAGCAGTTTTTGGAATGTTTGCTAACTTTTAATCAATAAGCCTCAGACTTATTTATTTTTGATAGCTGAACTGAGTGGCATACATGTTGCTTTCATCTGGATATAGAAAATGACTGAGATGTTGGGTGCAAACCAGTGGTGAAATTCAATTTTTTTTTCCTACTGGTTCTGGGGGCGTAGCTTGGTGGGCATGGCAGGGGAAGGATACTGCAAAATCCCCATTCCTCCCCACTCCTGGGGGAAGGATATTGCAAAATCTCCATTCCCACCCCACTCTGGGACCAGCCAGAGGTGGTATTTGCCGGTTCTCTGAACTACTCCAGAACCTGTCAGAACCTGCTGGATTTCACCCCTGATGCAAACTAAACTGCAAATGACACGCTATAATTTTCCAGCATTAATTAATTGATGATATATACTGGCTCTGGCTTGAACATTTGCACATTTGATGTAAGCATAGCTATTTTAAAATGTAAAAATGTTTGTGTAAATTCTAATGTTATAAACTTCATGAGCTTGGAGGTTGCTGCAGGACATTAGAAAGCCAGTTTGTGATGGAATGTTGCCCAGCTTTCCAGGAGGGAGAAAGTACATTCCAGTGGAGCAAGAGACAACGCAGTTTAGAATTTATCTAATTCTAGACAAATTCTCTGTGTGAGAGAAAGAGGATGAAGACAGCTCATCCCTAACAGTTCTCAGACTATATGTTTTGGGAGACAAGTAATCTGTTTTAGTTTGGCAAGATTTCAGTCTATAACCAAAATTACACATATAGAATGAGTGAAACCAGGCTTAATAGCAGTAACTGTGAGAGGGATCTTGGAGTCTTAGTGGACAATTAGCTAAATATGAGCCAGCAGTGTGCAGCGGCAGCCAAAAAAGCCAATGCAATCCTAAATTGCATTAACAGAGGGATACAATCAAGATCAAGTGAGGTACTAATACCACTCTATACAGCTTTAGTAAGACCACACCTAGAATACAACATCCAGTTTTGGTCACCATACTATAAAAAAGATGTTGAGACTCTAGAAAAAGTGCAGAGGAGAGCAACCAGGATGATTAGGGGACCAGAGGCTAAAACATATGATGAATGGTTACAGGAACTGGGCATGGATAGTCTAGTGAAGAGAAGGACCAGGGGAGACATGATAGCAGTCTTCTAATATTTGAGGGGCTGTCACAGAGAGGAAGGGGTCAATCTATTTTCCAAAGCCCCTGATGGAAACTGAACAAGGAGAGATTTAACCTGGAAATAAGGATAATTTTTCTGACAGTGAGAACAATCAACCAGTGGAACAGAAGTTGCCTTCGGAAGTTGTAGGAGCTGGAAGCTTTCAAGAAGAGATTGGACTGCCATTTGTCAGAAATGTGTAGGGTCTTCTGCTTGGGCGGGGAGTTGGACTGGATGACCTTCAAGGTCCCTTCCAACTCTGTTAATCTGTAATTAATTAACTATAGGTGAAGAACAACCAAGAAATCTGCTTAGAAAAATCATGTCTTTCTAGGTTTTCCTGCCTGATACAAAAAGAATCCAGAAATGGCAGTTGAGACTTAAGATTCATAACATCTAGCCCAGCATTTTTCAAACTTGAACTCTTTCTAGCTGGGAAATTCTGGCATTCAAAGTTCACATACCTGAAAGTGGTTGAATTTGAAAAACAGTGATCTAGCTAACACCTAGTAAGTTGCAGTGAAAAGCTAGTCCAATTGATATAACAGATGAAAATGTTTAGGACTGATACTCCATGTCTAACTAGGACTTTGCCAATCCAATTTAATTGTGCAGACCCTCGACTAGAAAACAAGGAGTGCTTAATGGCTAGGAAAAGGGGAAGAAAAGTCTAACCATGCTTGAAATATTATTATTCAGAGCTAAGCAAATTAATTGGAAAGATGAATGAGCCGCATCATTAGAAGGACTTGGAATGTTCACTTTAGACAGGGATTATAGAAGAACACAAAGTCAACACCCTTGTCTCTTCTGTCCAGTTGAATAATGTGCAAAGCTCCACCCTCTTTGAAGCTCTACCTTCTGTCCAGTAAGCTCCACATATATTTTTTTATAAAGTAAAGAGAGACTCTACGGTGTTGACACCATTAGGCTATTAACTAACACAGGGGTCAGCAATCTTAAACAATCAAAGAGCCACAAAGGTCCTAACTGGAAGCCCCCTGGTCAATTCTGGAGCCGACCAGAAGTCTGGTTTCCCCACCATAGAGTCTCCTCCTAGCCAGTGGTGGGTTGCCCCCGGTTCGCACCGGTTCTATAGAACCGGTAGTAAAACCGGTGGGAGGCCCCGCCCATCGACCCTGATGTCATCAAAACGCTTCTGCGCATGCCCTGCTGCGAAGCGGTAGTAAAGGTAAGTAGAACCCACCCCTGCTCCTAGCACGGTGTCTTTTTTTTTTCCCCTCTGCCGACCGGAAGTCCGGTTCCCCCACCATAGAGTCTCCTCCTAGCATGGCATCTTTTTTCTCTACTGGTCCTAATCAAAAGCTCTATCAATTGTGGAAGCCGACTGGCAACACGAAGCCTCAGCAGAGGGATGAAAGAGCCACATGCGGCTCCAGAGCCACAGGTTGCTGACCCCTGAACTAACACAACATACTAAACCAGTTTACTGAGCTATCCACACCTGCATTTGTATCATTCAGTGAACCATAAACTATCTGTCTGGCAATCATATCCTTAAAATTAAATTTTGTTCAGCTTTTTTGTTGTTTGGCTTTTGTTCTTTTGTTTTAAACTTTGGACTGTTTTCACAACAGTAATCATTCAAACTTTCGTGTAATATGATCTTGTAAATTGTCTATTTTCTGCCTCGCATCCATTGACATATTCCACAGACGAAATTTACGTTTTAGTTTATTTCCTGATTCCAGCAATCAGTTTTGATCCAGCCCCTTCGAATTTACGATCACTGGCATCTGAACATCCCATAACTCGTCATATGTTTCTATGATGAAATCGGAAAAACATGTGGTTGTTGATTCTGCATTATCACTAGCATATGTTCTTGAAAATTAAGATTTGTTGGGGAAATGTTGCAGTTGAAAAACAGTATTTCTGATGCTGGAAAAAGTACTTTTGTGTTCTTGTGAGCCTCAGAACATTTTTGGCTTGTTTTTCCACTGTAATTTTTGTCCAGGAGGCCAAGAAAGTTAGTGTGTCTTCCTTTCCAACACCTCAAATTTGTTCTCCTTTCCAATTGTCTCCAATACATCTTGTAAAACCACAGAGTTGTAGAGTTGGAAGAAACCACAAGGGCCATCTCATCCCAATCTCCAAAATGTGCAGGGAAAGCCAATTAAATCACCCATGAATGGTGGTTGCCCAGCCTCTTCTTAAAAACCTCCAGTATTGGAGAACTCACAGCACTTGTAGGTAGACTTTTCCACTGTTGTACCGATTTTACTATCATAAAGCTTTTTCTTATATTTGAACAAAATCTAGACAGCTGAAACTTATATGTCACATTATTTTGGTTCCTATTTTCTGTGGTCATTAATAATAGCTGATGGCCTAAATTTGCAGAGAAGTTGCAGAGAAGAGCAGGAAAGATGATTAGGGGACTGGAAGCTAAAACATATGAGGAACAGTTGCAGGAACTGGGCATGGCTAATCTACTGAAGAGAAGGACCAGGGGAGACATGATAGCAGTTTACCAATATTCGAGGGGCTGTCACAGAGAGGAGGGGGTCAAGCTATTTTCCAAAGCATCTGAAGGCATGACAAGGAATAATGGATGAAAACTGATCAAGGAGAGACTCAACCTAGAAATAAGGAGGAATTTTCTGAAAGTGAGAACAATCAACCAATGGAACAGAAGTTGCCTTCAGAAGTTGTGGGAGCTTCATCACTGGAAGCTTTCAAGAAGAGATTGGACTGCCATTTGTCAGTAATGGTGTAGAGCACTGATGGCTAATCTTTTTGCCGTCACGTGCCAACAATGGGGGGAGTGCGGGGAGGTCGCCCATGTACGTGCCCACACCCATAATTCAATGCGCCCCACGCATGTGCACACACCTCCCCCTGCTTTTAACATGCGATGGCACGGTGGGCCTGGTAGGCCCGTTTTTCACCCTCCCCAGGCTCCAGAGGCTTTCTAGGAGCCTGGGGAGGGCAAAAACGGCCTTCCCCACCCACCCTGGAGGCCCTCCAGAGGCGGGAAACAGCTCATCTCCCAACTTCCGGCGGGACCGGAAGCACGCATGCGCGCTGTAGCTGCTCGCGTGCCCACTGATATGGCTCCGGGTGCCACCTGTGGCACCCGTGCCATAGGTTCGCCATCACGGGTGTAGGGTCTCCTGCTTGGGTGGGAGAGGTTGGACAAGATGACCTACAAGATCCCTTCCAACTCATCTGTTAATCTGCTAATATTCTTTTCTTCAGATTGAACGTCTCAGATTCTTTCAGCCTGTCCTGACAGGGCACATCCTCAAGTCCCTGCATCACTTCCTTGCTAATCTGCTAGGTTTTTCCTGACTTGGATGATGTGTTGTGTGAACGCAGAGTCCCTTCTAATCTGCCACACAGTGCTGAGCAGGAGGTGAGCATTGTTTTGGGGCCACAGCAGTTATGTGTGTGTATGTTGTGGGGGATTCACATGCATGAAAAAGGATCAGACTTTGATGGTGAAATGAAACAAATCAGATAATCAAAGGAAACTTCTAATGGACTTTCTAAAGGGCTTTTGGGTTGGTGGGGGAATACGGATAAAAGCAGAATATTTGCTTTTAAAGGTGAAATTCATGCTTTAGGAAGTATCTCATCTGAATGCTCTTCACACGTTTAACCGAAAACGGTATATCTTTCATGAGTCTGATTATTCTGAAACATAATTTAAAGCTGAATAGTGATGCAGCTGCTTTCTGGCTCATGGCAATTGATTAGATTACCAAGTGGTGTTGTATTGGAGATTACCCTCTCTGACTATCCAACTTCACAAATTAAAAGTATTGGCACAGCTGTCAAAACAAAAAATCTAATTAAAGCAAAGCTTGGACCGAATTTAACTCCCCTCCCCCCTTACTTGCAGCTGACTTTTATTAACTTTCTTTGTATTAATGTCTTGCTTTGGTTAAATACCAGAGATGGTATTCAGCAGGTTCTAACAAGTTCTGGAGAACCGGTAGTGGAAATTTTGAGTAGTTCAGAGAACCGGTAAATACCACCTCTGACTGGCCCCGCCTCCATCTATTCTCTGCCTCCCGAGTCCCAGCTGGTTGGAAGGAAATGGGGATTTTGCAGTAACCTTCCCCTGGAGTGGGATGGGAATGGAGATTTTACAGTATCCTTCCCCTGCCACACCCACCAGGCCATGCCCACCAAGCCACGCCCACAGAACCAGTAGTAAAAAAAATTGAATCCCACCACTGTTAAATACATTGAGATATTGCTTTCAAGAGCATAACAGAATAACAGAGTGGGAAGGGACCTTGGAAGTCTTCTAGTCCAGTAATGGAGCACCCACAATGTCGGAAGGCAAGTCTTTCCACTGGTTAATTGTTTTAACTATCAGGAAATCAATCCTTAGTTCTAGGTTGATTTTCTCCTTGCTTAATTTCCATCCATTGCATCTTGTCCTGCTTTCAGGTGCTTTCGAAAATAGCTTAATCTCCTTCTTTGTGATAGCCTCAAATATTGGAAGACTGCTATCATGTCATCCTTAGTCCTTCTTTTCTTTTTTCATTTTTCATTTTTATTTTCAATTTACATAACAATAAACCTTTTTTAACAGTACTGTGTCATGTGTTCTCTTACAGGTATTTACATTTATTCCTATACATTTTTGTTTCTCTGTTCTAACCCGTTATACCACTTATCCCACACCTCATAAAATTCTGCTTCTTCCTTGCCTTTCATTTCTAACATGAGCCTATGCATCTCAACACATTCTAGTATCTTGTATATAATCATCTCATTGGCTGGTATATTTTCTAGTTTACAACACTGAGCATAGACAATTCTCACTGCTGTTGCTATGTGTAAAACTTAGTCCTTCTTTTCACTAGACTAGATATACCGAGTTCCTCTGACTGTTCTTCATGTTTTAGCTTCCAGTCCCATAATCATCTTTGATGTTCTTCTTTACACTCTTTCTAGAGTCTGCAGATTTATTTTTTTCATTGCAAAGCCTATAATCTTGACATAGTTTTCTGGAGTAGTCTGGGATCATTAACTACTATTATACTCCAAGAATACCAGAATGCTGCATGCAGTTTTACTCACCATATTACAGTATAAAAAAGAAGCTGAGTCTCTGGAAAGAGTGCAGAAAAGAGCAACAAAGATGATTAGGGAGCTGGAGGCTAAAACATATGAGGAATGGTTGCAGGAACTGGGTATGTCTGTTCTAGTGGTGACATGATAACATTGTTCCAATATTTGAAGGACTGACGCAAAGAAGAAGCGGTCAATCTATTTACTGAAGCACCAGAAGGCAGGACAAGAAGCAAAATAACTAAGGAGAGAAGCAGCCTAGAACTAAGGAGAAATTTCTGGATAATGAGAACAATCAACCAGTGGAACAGCTTGCCTTCAGAAGTTCTGGGTGCTTCACCATTGGAGGCTTTTAAAACAAGATTGGACAGACATTTTGAATGGTATAGGGTCTCTCTGACTTGTGCAGACCTCCAAGGTTCCTTCCACTTCTGTTATTCCATTGGAGCGTGCAGATAAAATGTAATCAACTCCCCAATACTCTTGTTTCTACCCAGAAAGATTTATCAGGTGAAACTGAAGCTTGTACACGTCAGCTGGAAGAGCTCCAGGTCATTTCCTGAAGATGAGTTCATTCAGAATTAGTAAGTATGTAATTAGGTCCCTGTTCTAATTGCTTTTTCAGAGATCAGTTTGTATGGGTGGGAATGAGGAGAAGATGACACTTACAATGAAAGTTAGTTCCTCTTCACAGTGATAATAATTACTTACGCTCCTCTTTTTTTTCTTTAGCACTTAAGAAAAGTGGAGCAATCCATAAGCAATTTTCTAATTTTCCCCACCTCAGATTTCTCCCCTGGCTTGGTATTTTCCTTTCTGGTTGTCATATTTCTTTGTTCAGAGGCTTCTTACCAAGACAAGTCTGTCCATCTGGTCCCATAACTGTCCCCAAGGAACAAATGCAATCTCCAGTGTCCAAACAGGAACCGTGACAATCAACCACATCACAGATGTCATAGAAATCTGCAGAACGGTAAAGGAAAGTTATTAGAAAAGCAGATTAACTGATTGGGTGCACTTAATCAAATTAGTTGGGCTTAAACCAAGAGCTAGTCACTCTCTCTCAGCCCAACTCACATCAAAGGGGAAAACAGGAGGAGGAAGGACTATCCCCCTGGTCATGTGATTAAAATTTGGGCATGTGAAAACGGATATGTATTTATGACAGTGGCCGCATTCTGTGGTCATATGATCATCATTTGCAACCTTCCAAGCAAATGGGGAAACGACCACACAATTCACAATTAAGAACTGCAATCATTTGGTTAATAGCCATGGCAAAAAAAATATCGGACTCGCTTCACAACCATCTTGGTAAGCGATAGAAATTCCAGTCCCAATTCTGGTCATACGTTGAGGACTACATATATGCATTAAGTCTTATGTCATGTGACAATACAGTAACGTTTTTGCATTGCTATGCAATTCTAGCTTGTGAGGAGTTCTACTGTGAATAATAGCTTTAAAATTCAGTCTGTTTTATCTGCCAGCTGAGACAATTCCTCAAATTCAGAACGATGTATGTTATCAAAAGTAAAAAAATATATAGCACACAGTAGAAAATAGCAACAAATAGTAAAACTAATATTGGCAAATCTTGAAAGTAGTAGGAAGGAACTGTTCTGCTCTCACAGACTAATTTCTCAAAAAGGACTGCTTTACATATGAAGGTAGAAACTTGTGCTTTGGTTTGTAACACACCAATTTCTATTTAGAACATAGAATAATAGAGGTGGAAGGGACCTCAGAGATCCTCTAGTCCATCTTCCTGCTCTAGCAGGAGACCTTATACCATTTCAGCAAATGGTTGTCCAGTCTTTTCTTAAAAATCCCCAGGGTTGGAGCACACTCAACATCTGGAGGCAAGTTCTTCCTCTGTTTAATTGTTCTAATTGTCAGGAAATTTCTTCTTATTTCTAGGTTGCTTCTCTCCTTGGTTAGTTTCCAACTATTATTTCTTGTCTTGCCTTCTGGTGCTTTGGAAAATAGGTTGACCCCTTCCACTCCCAGTCCTTCTTTTCATTGGAATAGGCATATCCAATTCCTATAACCATTGTTCCATATGTTTCCATCTCCAGACCCCTAATCATTTTTGCTGCTCTTCTCTGCACTCTTTCCAGTCTTAACATCTTTTTTTTAGGGTTGCCAGGTCTGCTTCCAAAAAATAGCGGACAAGCGGGGGGGGGGCGCAGAGGGGTTAAGTAGTAAAAAAATAAAAAAAAATTTTACAATTAAATTATATATTTTCTTACAAACATTTTAACAGGGAGTCTTTAACAATGAAAAATGAATTGATTCACTTGTTGCTGGAAGCTATTTTCTCCTTATCTAAATGATTTTTTGTGCTTGCATGCTGTGTGACAGCTTTTATACCATTATATTCAATTGTGAACGATTTCTGACACAATTTACAGTAGGCTGTCGTATTTGTTCTGTCGGTTTCGTTGTTGGTAATCCATGCAAAAGTAGCTTCCCGGTCTTTGGTGTATTTGCACACTCCTCTCTTTCGTTTTAAAGAATTCGAAATCTCGCCGCTGTCACTCTCATCACTCGACGCCATTTTAGGTCAGTCAACACAAGCTACAATACATTTTAAAAATGTGAACGGTACATAATTTTATAATATATTTTTATTTTAATCTCATCATTAATTTTTTCGGAGAATCGAGTTCAATGGATATTTGATCTTTGTCTCATTCTAACTTATGAAAAAAAAGACAAAACGCGGTTCTCCTAGCCTTATTCTCGTAGACTGTACAGCTTTAGATTACGTACCATTTCATCATAAAGCTTTTGAATAAAAAAAAAGTCCACTAATTTGTGGAAAAAAATAGTGAACATAATGTGAAAAAAGCTGACTGTCCGCTCAAATAGTGGACACCTGGCAAGGGTACTTTTTTTGGGTTGTGGTAAGCAGCACTGGATGCAGTATTCCGAGGGTGGTCTTACTAAGGCTTTGTAAAGCAGTACTAAAACTTCACATTTACTTGTAAGAAGTAAACTTCACGTTTACTTATTACAAGTAAGTAAAGAAGTAAACTTCACATTTACTTAGTTGTATTAGAGGTTCTTTGCTAGATTTATAGCTTTCCTTTAATGCAGGAGTTCAATGAGATATACATAGCACTCAGTGGTGGGATTCAAATAATTTAACAACCGGTTCTCTGCCCTAATGACCGGATGGGTGGGCGTGGCAATGGTGGGCGTGGCCAGGGGGTGTGCTAGGCAGCACTCGGCATCCTGCACCCCCCTGGGAGCAAAAACAGGCCGGGGGGGATGCGCCTCCCTCCCCGCGCGCTCTATTTTGGGTCTAGTAGGCCTCCCTGCACTTACCTGGGAGCCAAAATGAGATGCGTGGGGACTCCTGGAAGGGGAGGGGAGGGGCCAGGCAGCAATTTAACTACTGGTTCGTCCCGAACCGGCTGAATCCCACCACTAATAGCACTCCTTTATTCTTCACAATCATTCTATTCTACTAAAATAGGCTAGGCTGAAAAAAGGGACCAATCCAAATTCACTCTGTGACCTTCCACGGACCTGAATCAAGGTGTCTCTGGTCCCTTTCAACAACTTATGTACTATACCCATCTCTCTCTCTCTCTGTCTTCCTCTCATCCTCTCTCTCTCTTTAATGAAAATAAACTTTTCAAAAAAGCGGGTGTGGCAGAGAGGAGACCAAGGGAGATGTGTTAGGGCACATTAGCACCATTTTGTCTAGTGTTACTGTAGAACCGTTAAGATCTAAATGCTATAATGTGAAAAGACTGGACATGCCTGCAAAACGTTGATGTTATTGATTTGTAACTGTTTTATAAGTCAGTTTGATAAGTCTTTGAACAAGAAGTGAAAAATCAATAGTTTATCCTCCAAGAAAAAGGGAAGGAAAGTATTTTTCAAGGTCAGCTGGATATTTATTTGGAGATAGTTAGTATATTTTCTTCCATGATTTTCTGAAATTGTAGCTCTTTCTGCTAATTCAATATGTATTTGCTTAATTTTCAAAGGAATTTGTTACTCTCTTAGAACTATTTAACGAACCAACTTAATAATCTCTCATCATGGTGTTATATTTTGTATATAGGATAAAATTCCTCCATTAAGATACCCACAAATGTAGTCAGCCATAAATACATACAGGTAATCCTCAGCTTACAACCATAACTGAGCCCAAAATTCCCATTGCTTAGCTAATGCTAAGGTGTTAAGTAAGTTTTGCCCCATTTTACAACCTTTCTTGCCACTGTTGTTAAGTGAATCATTGCAGTTGTTAAGTTAGTAACACGGTTGTTAAGTGTTTCTAACTGGCTTCCCCATTGATTTTGCTTGTCAGAAAGTTGCTAAAAGTGATCACATGACTCTGGGACACTTCAGTTGTCATAAATACAGTTGCCAAGTGTCTGGATTATGATCATGTGACCACAGAGATGCTGTAACGGTTATAAGTATGAAAAACAATCATAAGTCACTTGCTTTAGTGCAGTTGTAACTTCAAATGGTCACTAAATGAATGGTTCCAAGCCGAGGGCTACTTGTATGCTCACAATAGCTATTTTGCCAGTGTATAAGTTAGACAATTTACAAAATGCCAACTTTTAAAACAGTATGCAATATTGCTAAAAAAAGAAAAACCCACACAGTTTACTGACAAATTCAGAATAACAGAATAAGATGGAAGGGACCTCAGAGGTCTTCTAGTCCAACCTCTTGCACAAGCAGGAGACCCAGGGGTGAAATTCAGGAGATTTTGACAGGTTTTGGAGAACCGATAATTTTGAGTAGTTTGGAGAACTGGCAAATACCACCTCTGGCTAGTCCCAGAGTGAGGTGGGAATGGAGATTTTACAATATCCTTCCCCCTGGGGTGGGGTGGGAATGGAGATTTTGCAGTATCCTTCCCCTGCCATGCCCAACAAGCCACGCCCCCCAAGCCATGGCCTCAGAACCAATAGTAAAAAAAATTGAATTCCACCATCGAGGAGACCCTATACAATTTCAGACAAATGGCTTCCCAATCTCTTCTTAAAAACCTCTGGTGATGGAGTGCCCACAACTTCTGAAGGCAAGCTTTTCCACTGGTTAATTGTTCTCACTGTCAGGAAATTTCTCCCTAGTTCTAGGTTGCTTCTCTCCTTGTTTAGCTTCTATCATTTGGTTCTTATTCTGCCTTCAGATGCCTTGGATAATAGGTTGACCCCTTCTTCTTTGTAGCCACTCCTTAGATATTGGAACACTGCTATCATGTCACCCCTAGTCCTGCTAGCAGTGTCCCAATATTTGAGGGACTGCCACAAAGAAGAGGGGGTCCAAAATCCGACAGTCCAAAGTTTGGACGGTCTAAATTTGACAGTCCAAAAACTTTTCCCCAAAGAAAGGGCATGACTGTCCTCTAAAAATCACAAGGGACTGGTCTAGATTGTGCAAAAGATATTCAAAGGAAAGTTGCCATAGCAGTAAAGATCAGATATTTCAAACTGCTCCCTCTCCAGCTCAGAGAGGAAGCTTTGAGCTCAGCCTCTTCAGCTGACTAGAATGTACCCAGCAGATTTTCCAGATGAGATACATTACTAAAATGATTTCTCCGTTATAAGCTGTAAAGGTCAATGAGCAATGCAATGAAAAGCTATTAACTACATTGCCCAAGAACGCAGAGCTAAATCAGAAATCCATAGACTGATTTGTCAAGTAAATTAGCCTATACTTGCTTTCTTTTTTTAAAAAAATAGGTTGTGGTGGGGGTGTCAGCTATATGTGAAAAGCAATTGTAATCTGAGGCCAATGAAGACAATTTTTGATATCAACATCAATGTATTTTTGTGTGCTGTTTATGTCTGTGTGCATGTGGAGAAAGTGTGGGGAAAAAGAATAGGAGGGCTATTTTGTGACTACAGATGGAAGGGACCTTGGAGGTCTTCTAGTCCAACCCCTGCTCAGGCAGGAAACCCTACACCATTTCAGAGAAATGTTTGTCCAATCCCTTCTGAAAAACCTCCAATGTTGGAGTATCCACAACTTCTGGAGGCAAGTCGTTCATTGATTAATTGTTCTGTCAGGAAATTTCTCCTAAGTTCTAGGTTGGTTCTCTCCTTGATTAATTTCCATCCATTGCCTCTTGATATAAAGATAGAGATGAAAGAGATAGAGACGATAAGAGATATAGTTCAAGATGATAGAGATAGAAATGACAGAGACAGAGACCATAGAATAGATATGATATAGAGATTACAGATGATAGAGAGAGACATGACAGATGATAGAATAGCTATGATATAGAGATGATAGATGATAGAGATAGAAATGAAGAGACAGAGATGATAGAATAGATATGATAGAGGTATAGAGACGATAGAAATAGAGATAGAGACGATTGAGATAGAGATGATAGAGATAAATTCATTGTACATCTCAGCTGTACATCTCCACCCTGGACCACCCCAATTATGCCCTTGAAGTGATGTCCCAGTGTCTGGAGGCCGTGCGGATCTGGATGGGGAGGAACAGGCTCAGGCTCAACCCATCCAAGACTGAGTGGCTGTGGTTTCCGACGTCCCAATATAGTCAGTTGACGCCATCGCTGACTATTGGGGGCGAATCGCTGGCCCCCACCGAGAGGGCTCGCAACTTGGGTGTCCTCCTGGATTCACGGCTGTCTTTAGAAGAGCACTTGACGGCCGTGACCGGGAGGATTTTTCATCAGGTTCACTTTCTGACTCCAACTTCTATTGTTAAAGCATGATTATTCATAATTCTCCAACCTGAATTGTATAATCATGGTAAATTAAGTTTTTTTAAATAGCAATTCTACAATGTGGTTGACTATTCTGTCAGGCTGGAGAGCTGAAGGAGCTCCTGAACAGATTTGTGACTGGAATTCAAACAGTTGTGCAACAAAATGCCAAAGAAAACTCAAGGTGGTGGTGTGGCAAGTAATCAGAGCAAAAATAAAACCAAGCAGTTCTTCGACAGAAGCGAGATGCTAACTGATCCCCCTTACAGCCAATTCTGGTGATTCTACCCAATCTGGAAGGCAGGGTCTGCCATTCTGTCATGAATGGGGTTCAAGGATGAGAAACTTTGCAATGCCAGACAAGGCCTTGTGTCTCAGATTCTGAAGTTCTGCTTGGACATAGCACTGATGTTGGTCTTGGTGGATCTAGAGCTGAAAAAATCAGACCAGTCACACAACCAAAGGAATACCTCTGAAGCTACAGAGCTTTCTTCAGTGAGTTATATTCTAGAGTTATTGCTTTAGGAAAATTGTCATCTTTGATTCTCTTGGAACATGTTTATTTTTACTTACTTATTTATCATATTTAGGTACTGCCCATCTCAGAGTAACTCCCAACAGCATGTTTGCTATGAGAAGGAATAAGGTCCATTTTTGAGATGATCTTGCCAAGAAATTGGTTGGTAGCTGCTTTTGTAGAAATGTATCATTCCAAACATCAGGATGTCAGGGGTTTGAATGTTGGACAGCTAAAAATATACTTCTCATTATGAGTGAACAAATTGCCAAAGAGGTCAAGGTTGACTCAGCCTTCCATCCTTCCGAGATCGGTAAAATGAGGACCCAGATTGTTGGGAACAATATGCTGACTCTGTAAACCGCTTAGAGAGGGCTGTAAGACACTGAGAAGAGGTATACAAGTCTATTGCTATTGCTAATACCAGTGAGAAGAATCATGTCAAGGGGTAAAGTAGATTAGTTATGTTCATGCAAGGAAGTTTGCTATTTGTTTGAGGGAAACAAAATCATGAGGCATCATTCATACATATGAGCACATACTTGCCCCCAAAGTGAAATTCCTCTTGTAATACTGTGCTCAAAGAAGAGTATACGATAAGAAAGGACAATTAAGTGTAGAGTCCTTAGTGTTCTCTGAGCTTGGTTACTTTCTTGCAGATGTTTCATTGCCAAACTAGGTAACGTCATCATGGTTAGTAGGGAGTGGTGTTCAAAACCATTCAAAAGAGAAAATCAAATAGCTAAAAAGGAAACACAAGACCAAAATGCCTCCTCACCAGCAATCAACATCCAGATGAGCAGAGATTAACACCAAGATTAACATTAGACCAGTGGTGGGTTGCCCCTGGTTCGGACCAGTTCGCAAGAACTGGTAGTAAAACCAGTGAGAGGCTCCGCCCACTGCCCCGGATGTCATCATAGGTGATTTGCGCATGCGCAGAAGCTTGGCGCGCGCATGAGTGAAGCAAGCACATGTGCGCAATCCTGTTGCAAACTGGTAGTAAAGGTAAGTAGAACCCACCCCTGCATTAGACCAACAATCAAGAAGCAAACAACACTCCAATCAAGGAACTACCAAATCAGACAAACTAATTATCAATAAGCAGCCTATTCAAGAACCTCCAAGACCACTCCCGCCAATACTGATGAGGCAAGCAACTAGGTAGTATATAAAATTGAAAGCAAACCCCACTCCCTATTAGCACTAATGATGTCACCTAGTTTGGTAATGAAACATCTGCAAGAAAACAACCAACCTCAGAGAGGACCAGGGACCCCTCAGCTCCAAATATTCTCTTCAATGGGAAAGAGCAATTAAGGCTTGGTCACTTACGTCCACAGTAAGCATGGTAGCAGACACTGGGCTTGGCTAAGTGGTAGACGTAATAACCTCCGGGACATGCCTTGATTTCAACAGTTGTATTCCAGAGGCAGCAGTTTCCATTGAAAGTTGCACAGGCCTGCCTTTGGACAATGCCCTCTGATTCTTGAGGATGGCTGCCATTTAGCCAGATTGGGGCATGGGTGCCACAGTGGTTCTCAGGAATGCAGAAGGTAGGCATGGCATCCCCAGCCATCCCTGTAAAGCGGTACCATTCCCCATCCACGTGACTGTCACATTCAGGCTGGTCAGTAGAATCATTGAACTGGAATTCCGTGTTCCTCCAAGGTTCATTCAGACTAATGTAGGCAGAACAAGGGTCAAGAGCTGGAAGACAGGAAGAGAAAACCTAGTCATTATCCATAGCAATATGTTAATCATTGTTGTTGTTGTTGTTAGTTGCGAAGTCATGTCCGACCCATCACAACCCCATGGACAACTTTCCTCCAGGCCTTCCTGTCCAGTGGTGAAATCTAAAATTTGTTACTGTCTGCTCTGTGGGTGTGGCTTGGGGGGGGGGGGGTAAAATGTGACTGGGTGGGCGTGGCCAGTTTTTTTTTTTACTTTTAAAACAATTTTTTCTACAACCTCTTCGATGAAGAGGTTGTAAAAAAATGCTTTCAAAAGGCTCTGACGATCCCAGCTGAGTTGCCTGATCGGCAGAGGTTTTTTTTCTTTTAAATGCCTCTGACGATCAGGCAACTCAGCTTGGATCGTCAGAGGCATTTAAAAGAAAAAAAGGGTTTTTTTTCTTTTAAAAGCCTTTGATGATCCCAGCTGAGCCGCGCGATCATCAAAGGATTTTTTTTTTACTTTTAAAAGCATTTTTTCGGCCGAAGAGGTTGTAGAAAAAATGCTTTTAAAAGTAAAAAAAAAAGCCTCTTATGATTGTGGGGCTCCGCGGGGGGCGGGGGGGGGGGCAGGGATTTTTGCTACCGGTTCTCCGAACCACCCGCCTCCATCGCTACTGGATCAGGTGATCTGGTCCAAACAGGGAGCATTTCACTCCTGTTCCTGTCCTCTACCATCCCCTGGAGGCCATTTAAACTCATGCCGACTGCTTCAGTGGCTCCATCCAGCCACCTCATTCTCTGCTGTCCCCTTCTTCTTTTGCCCTCAATTGTTCATGTTAATCATACTGGAACCCTATAGCAATAACTAGGAAGAGATAAACAAATGTTTGATTTCAGGAATAGAACCAGCCAATTATTGAATTCTCGGGAGCATTTTACTTTCTCCAGAACTACACAAGGTTAAATATTTATCCATAGTCAAGCTTCATGGTCACGCGGGGCCCATCTCACAGTAATTTGCTATATTTTCTTTATAAAATATTGACTAACATAAAATCATATATTTGGGAAAGGCCATTGAAGTCAATCTTCTGCCCAGTACATGAATTTGATCATAACCAGTAATGAGAAAGCCTGCCATTTCTCTAAGCCAGGGGTGTCAAAGTGGCAGCCCGAGGGCCGGATGCGTCATGCGCAGGCCACGCCCACCCCAGCTCCGTGAAGGGAAAAAAACATCACAATATGTCACGTGATGGCAACGTGAGGTGGCGAGTTTGATACCTGTGCTCCACAGCAGTTTGTTCTGTTGTTAAACCAACCTTCTTGTTTAAATATTTTCGGCTGGATCTGCTTTCCCACAATATTATTTGGCTTGAACTCTGCGTGTTACAGAATTAACTCATGACCTTTTTCTATTATTCAAGAGTGTCTTCCTGAGGCTAAATAAACCCTGTTCCCTCAATCTTTCATTTTGGAACCTATTTTGTGGTCTGATAATCATTTGTTGCCTTATGGGGGAATCTGGATGTATTACTACATTCAATATCCATAAGATGCAGTTTTAAATTATGGGGCCCGTAGGGTTGATAGGTCTATTACTTAAAACCAGACGATCCCTGAAGAATTTCCAACACCACAATTCACGATTCTATGATATTTTCTTGTAGGTTAATCGAAACTGAGTAGGAGGTCCACAAGAAATTATCTTGACATGGAATCTTGCCTATATCGTAAGTTCAACATTCTCAGCAATCTCTCATGTATCTTAACCAGCCGTAGGCTCTAATAAACCAACTCGGTTCATTTCTAGAAAATAGGTCCAATACTAACTTGAAGAAATAATTGCAAATTTCAGCTGCTGTAATAAGGGAAAGCCCAGGCCATCTTCTACTGCAGGGGTCCCCAAACTTGGCAGCTTTAAGACGTGTGGACTTCAACTCCCAGAATTCTCCAGCCAGCTATGCTGAGTTGAAGTCCACACGTCTTAAAGCTGCCAAGTTTGAAGACCTCTGTTCTACCGAGATCAAATGTGTAAGACTGAATAAAAACAGGGTTTCTTCCTCCTTCTACAACACATAATATTCAAGTAATACCTGAAACCCCAAATCTAACAAGGTTTCAAGATTCTAACATGTAACAGTAACAGAGTTGGAAGGGACCTTGGAGGTCTCGAGTCCAACCCCCTGCTCACGCAGAAGACCTATACTAGGGATTCGAACCGCCGAATTGACGACCTCTCTGATCGACAAGCTCAGCGTTTTATCCAATTCCAAAATGCTGCATACAACTGTACAACTGGCAGCGGTGCTTCTATTCAGCTAAGCTTTGGTGAGTTTATTCAGAAACCTCTGAGATTCGAAGATAACTGATTTTCAAAACCCAGAGTTCTAATTTCATCTGCATAAATCACCCTTCTAATTGAATAATGCTGTCCTTTAAAAGGAGAAGATGGAAAACGTAATGCATACTGGCAATATATCATTGAATTCAGGCTTTCCCGCCGCCTGTTGCAACAACAATTCAAAATCCCACCAGTCTGACCAATGGGAAATTGTTGAGCACTATAATTGCAACAGCCAACACAGATAGATGGCTTCGGTTTAGGGGAAACTTATTTAATCAATAGTTGAGAGCGAGAACGACTCTGAGAAGAAGGAAGACTTCCCTACTTCTGATAAAGAGAGACAAAGCAAAGCTTTGTCTTGCTTGGCCGTGTGATTAGGATGTCTTCTCAGTTTCCTATGGTGGGTAATTGGGGACAGCTCTGTCAGGAAGGGCTGCTTGCAACCAGCAAAGGAAGGACCAATCTGATTGATGCATAAGGCAGACCAGAGGATTTTTCTTTTGCCATCAAAAGGAAGTTGTGTTATATGAGCCCATTAATCTTCTATAAGTAAGCAAAAGGAGGAGGATTTTTCTTTGATCAGTAGGTCTGGAGAGAAACAGAGCGATTTTGAACGGCTTGCCTTCAGAAGTTGCAAGTGCTCCATCACTGGAGGCTTTTTAAGAAGAGACTGGACAGCCACATGTTACAATACAGATTAACAGAGTTGGAAGGGACCTCGTAGGTCATCTAGTCCAACCCCCCGCCTAAGCAGGAGACCCTACACCATTTCTGACAGATGGCAGTTCAGTCTCTTCTTGAAAGCTTCCAGTGATGAAGCTCCCACTTGTCTGGAATAGTATAGGGCCGTGATGGTGAATCTATGGCACGCATGCCACAGATGGCACGCGGAGCCATATCTGTGGGCAGGCGAGCATTGCCCTAGCTCAGCTCCAGCGTGCAGCGGCCACCTGATTTTCGGGCCTTCCAGGCCCACCGCAAGTTGGAAAACTGGCTGTTTCCGACCTCCGGAAGGCCTCTGGGGGTGTGGGGAAGGCCCCTTTTGCCCTCCCCAGGCTCCAAAAAAAAACCTCTGGAGCCTGGGGAGGGCGAAAAACAGGCCTACCAGGTGCACTGGGCCATCACATGCTGAAAGCGGGGGAGCACGAGGGGTTGCATGCGGGGGGCAGGGTGCATTGAATTTTGGGTGTGGGCACACAAGCGCGCAACCCCTGTGTCACTGCGTTTTTTGTATTTACCAGATGAGCTCATATTTTTGGACATTCAGACTTTCCGTAGCTTGCCAAGTTTCTTATCAGTAAGCTAACTACGCATGTCCGCATTCTTTCATTCTTTCTTCTTTTTTTCTTTGTTCTCCTGCCAGGAGAGGTCTGGCCGCAGAGAGGTGGCCGGCAGGAACTTTGCCAAAATGTAATTAATTAGATTAGTGAGATGTTTTATTTTCTTTATAACAAATAAATGAGTTTTTTTCTTAGAAAAATATATCTTCGGGGTTTATTTTCTTACAAAAGTATACACAAGGAAAATGCCACGATCCATGTCTCTAAATCAAGGTGCGATTACCCAAAAGCAGAATGGGACTAATTAGCATCCTGACACCCTGCACTCTCCCCACTTTGGGCACGCGACGGCAAAAAGCTTAGCCAGGGTCTCAGGCCTGAGCAGAGGGTTGGACTAGAGCCGTGATGGTGAACCTATGGCACTTGTGCCAGAGGTGGCATGCAGTGCCCTCTGTGTGGGCACACGAGCCATTGGCCCAGTTCAGCTCCACTGCATATGTGTGTGCGCCTCCCCCTGGCGTGCATGTGCGGGGGGCGTGCAAGGGGGCCTGTGCACACATAAATGGGGGGTGGGGCACGTGGGGGTACCCACACGTGCATGCACGGAGGCCACATGCAGGGGAGTCACATGCGTATGCACAGGGGGTGGGGCATGTGCAGGGGCCACATGGGCACATGTGAAATGGGGCACATGTGTGGGGCTGTGCATGCATTGCATTTTGGGGGTTCAGGCGCACACGCGTACATTCACGCACGCATGCTTTGGGAACTCCGTCCGGAAAAGGTTCGCTATCACTGGACTAGAGGAACTTCAAGATCCCTTCCAACTCTGCTCTTTTGCTATTCTGACTTATCCCTGAGAGCTAGAGATTCCCAGTTCATGCAGATTAAAGAATCCAGGATCAACATTCCTAATGAAAGAATCAGCACCCTGTGTCATTGGGCAATAATGAGCCACCTTCAAACACTGATCCTTGCCGTGCTTTCCTTTCCAGCCCTCCCTGTCTGCCTTCTTGCAATTCAGATCTCCTAGGAGTTGCTGCCTTTGAACAGTTCTCAGATCTTGATTACCCAACAACCTGTCACCTGCAGTGCAAGATTTTGGATGAGCAAAGGACATCTCTGTCAACCTCTTCCCAGCAAAGAGAATTCCAGAGAACTCCCAAGATTTAAAGTGAAGGCTGCAAATGAGAATATGATTTTTTAAAAAAACAAACATTCATTACACTTTTCATCCGGGATGCATTCAACCTTCTCACTGCAGCTTCCAAATTTGCCCTTTATACTTGTGCATATATTTAACGCCTGATTAAGCACCAGGTAACCCCATCTGACTGTGGGATTAAACCACGATTTATTATTAGCCTTCTTTGGATTGAAGCAAATGGATTGTTTTTCCTTCTTCTTTTTGTAAATAAGTCCATTGCTCTAATTTGGTACATCAAAATGAAGCAAAAAATATTTTCCTCCCTTTTAAAATTCCATCGGCCACTTTGCTGCCTTGGATTCTTACGTGATTCAATCTGTATTTTAGGAGCAGTGAAATATCGATTTAATTTGAAAAGAAAAATGCCTTGTTACCTAATGAGAAAATACCGTGATGGCTGATAATTTATTGTTGGTTCATTTGCTTATGAGTATTGAGTAGGTGCAATTCATCACATTCTTTTTTCCCTGGTATTCAGACAATACATGCCACTTGGTATAGTAAAAAGAAAAACCACCACAACTTTTGCAGATGTCTAAATAATCTACAAAAGAAAAGAACCAGAGGTGAACTCCAGCAGGTTCTGGAGAACTGGTAGCGGAAATTTTGAGTAGTTCGGAGAACCGGCAAATACCACCTCTGGCTGGCCCCAGAGTGGGGTGGGAACGGGGATTTTGCAATATCCTTCCTCCAGGGGTGGGGAGGGAATGGGGATTTTGCAGTATCCTTCCCCTGGAGTGGGGTGGGAATGGAGATTTTGCAGTATCATTAATTTAATTAATTAATCATTAACCCTCATTAATTTCATTTTATGGTTCACTCAGATAATCTCATTTAATTTTAATATCTTAGCTCAATAGTCGTCCCTTACATTGTGTGTGTGTGAGAGAGAGGGGGGGGAGAAGGAGGGAGGGAGAGAGAAAGAGAGGGGGGCTGTCTTGATTTCTGGAACAATTTAGAATCCTGTTTATTCCTTCTTTATTTTAGCACTAGAATGGCATAAAATCTCACTTTCACAGAACTGAATAAAAACAGCACATGCTGAAACTGTTGGGCATTACCTACCCCAGGAAGATGTAACCATGTTGGTCTTATTAGAAAGTAAAGGAGAAAGTATCCATATTTGTGAGTGGTGATTCTCTATTGCACATCAAATGGAGCAGAATTCCATTCGTATATTGGGTCCTTCCTATTTCTCATTACTTTTTACAGTTATCTGAAATTCTGCTGCTGAGAGTCTCTAGGATTCTTTAGCCAGCTATAGCATAAGCAAGCAGGGAACAATAGATGTGAGGAGAAACGAGAGTCATCTCAATCCTTTCACACAATATATGAAGGTTTGGTTGCTCTAACTTCTCTGGAGCTACACTAAGTAATTATAAGAACAATATACTGGACTAAATGCTACAGAAATTCACACTCCCTGCAAAACAAAACAAAAAGTGCAAATCTTCCAAATTGCACGCAGCAAGCAAGCAACTGGTCATTTTGTTCACTACATATGAATGGCCTATAAAAGTTTCAAAAGAAATGCCAGCTCTGGACAAGAAATGGCCTTTTGGCACTTCCAGTTAATGGACATTTGCAAGTACTCACCCACTGTATTCTCCTGCAAGGACTGTGTATTCGCGTGGAGGCAAAAGGACAACATGAACAGCAGGAGCATCTCCTGGTGGCAAAGGCATCTGAAGCGAGAAGTCCCAGCAGGACCCATTGAAGAAGACAAGGTGAGACTACTTTTTATAATCCCACCAGGTGCCTTCAGGCTCTGGTGTGTTGAAGCAAAGTGTACATGCAGAGAGAAAGTCTTGCGGGCACTGACTGGGGGTTTTATCAGAGGAAGAGGCCAAGATGATAATAGCTTCCACCGTAGCCTTGACCTGCCCACAGCAGCAATGCTTTTCAGAGACAAAAGGGGGGTATTTTTTTCTCCCTAAAGTCATTCATTTTGTTTGCAAAGCCATCCTCCAATTGTTTGCTTGCAATGTGCCCTGCAGTGACCCATCTGCTATCTTATCCAGAAGGACAACTAAGGAAGAGACACATAGACATCCTGTGGAGATGGGGGAAGATGGTGGCCCTTATCTATTTTTTTCTGCTTCTATGAATAAGAAAAGCAACTCTGAAATTGAAGAGCAACGGGAGAATAAGATTTCACTCCTGGTTTTGCTAAAAGGGAAGAAAGCAGATTGGAATAGAGGGAACCCCATGATGCCCTCCCTAAATCTGGTCATGGGTGGGCTGCTGGGGATTCGCAGGGGATCAGGAGAACCTCTAGCTAAATTTCTGTGCAGTTTGGAGAACCCCCAAATCCCACTCCTGGCTGGCCCGGCCCGGCCCACCCTGCCCTGCCCCTCCTAAGAGTCCCAACGTGGCCTGTTTTAGATGCAGGTAAGTGCAGGGTGCATGCGGAGGCTTGGGGAGGGTGAAAAACAGGTGTACTGGAAGTTTGGGAAGGCTGGAAACGGGCTCATTTCCGGCCTCCAGAGGACCTCCAGAGCCTGGGGAGGCCGTTTTTGCCTTCCCGGAGGCTCGAGGAAAGCCTCTGGAGCCCAGGGAGGGCATAAACGTCCCCCCCCCATGGTGCAGGAGGCCAACTAGGCCACACCCACCATGGCCACACCCACCCAGCAACCGGGCAGAGAACCCCTTGGTAAAATTTTTGAAGCCCACCCCTGAATCTGGTGTTCTCCAAACTATACCTGCCAATCCCCTCATCAGCTGGTTATAATCTGACACATCTGGCTGATAACCCATCCAAGCAAAATGAATAAAACAAAAGGCATTTTATAAAGGTAATCTACTTCCGGTGTGTCGGTGTAGAACTTTTGGGCAAGGAATTCAAGGAAGAGCAATCAGCAATTTTAGGCTGGAGGACACAGAACACAGACTTTGAAAGTTGTTTTTTCCTGCCCTACTTTGTCCTTGCTCGTTTGTTATGATGGATTGACATTATCCGTAGCTGGTGATTTTGCATGCTATTGCAAATCCCGTAAACATCGATCGTCAGTCAAACTGAAAGGTTGCTGGTTTACTTGGGCCTGCTGGACCAAGTAATACCTCTACTGCAAAGAATGTTATTCGGGAATTTCAACCTGTCTTTCTTGCCTATCTAAGAAACATTCATGGCATGTGCAAAAAAAATATATTTTAAACAACCCAGCACTACATTGAATACCAAAATAGAGCATTGCAAGCAAGAGAAAGAGAATACAGACTAAGATACAGGACTATGTACTGTATTTCATACATTCAGTAGGCCACAATAACAAACGTCTGATAGTATTAGGGAAAGTAATCAGATGAATCTCCTGTGTTAGGCCTTGAAAAACAAGCAAAAACTAGCTATCCTAACTGTATTTTTTAACTTTCCCAGTCTGTCACCAAAGGGTCTAAGACAGTGATGATGAACCCTTTTGCCATCATGTGCCAAAAACGGAGGTCGCGCAGGGGGGTCGCATGCAGGGGGGTTGCGCACAGGGGGGTCGATGTGGTCTATGCGCCCCTCCGTGCACCTCCCACTTTTGGCACGCAATGTACTGTGGGCCCGGTAGGCCCATTTTTCACCCTCCCCACGCTCCAGAGCCTTTCTAGGAGCCTGGGGAGGGTGAAAATGACCTTCCCCATCCCCCTGGAGGCCCTCCAGAGGTCGAAAACAATTCATTTCTTGACTTCCGGTGGGCCCAGAAGGCCCGAAAATCAGTTGGCCAACGCGCACATGCGCGCCAGAGCTGAGCTTGCGTGCCCCCTGATATGGCTCCATGTGCCACCTGTGGCATTTGTGCCATAGGTTCGCCATCAAGGGTCTAAGACAACTAGCCATGGTCAACTCGCCATGGCTCACTTGCCATGGTCAATCAACGCAGGACAATTCGCCATGGGACAATTCAACACTGCATTAATTGTTTCATTCAAATACTTTTATTATTGGTGACCACATTTTCATCAAAATTTAAGTTTATTTTATTATTCTTATTGGCCATGGTTCCGTTGAAATTAATTTCACTTTTGTATTTGTTGAATTGTCCCATGGTGAGTTGATCATGGTTAGTTGGCTATGGTGAGTTGTCCTATTCTGCTCACAAAGCCATCTACATGTTCTGACTGCATTTCCCTTCCAAGCCCACCCACCTACTCTCCAAAAAGATGTGATCTCTGTGTGCCTTGTTGTGGATTTAGACTCCCGTATCTGCCTATAATTATTTGATCTAATAGGAGACAAATGTCATAAATCTTTCTGGTAACCCTCCTTGGTTCTACCAAATGCAAGCAACTATAGTTCAGAAAGAAATCATGATCCACAATGTTTTCTTATTCTTTTAGAAAAACTCCGAAGAATGGGTGAGTTGGGTGAAAGAAAGGAGTAGTAGATGGTGGAGGAATGAATTAAGAAGAGAGATTAAAGATGGAAACAATCTGTCCCCACAGATGTTGGGAAATAAGTTTGTCCCCTGCAAATTTGAAAGGGTTAGCCAGATATCCTTCGGTCAATCAAGGAAAAAAAAAGTAACTCTTCTTAGACTATGATAGGTGGGGAAATTGTGGCAAGCTGAAATCATTGACAAGGTATTAGTGGCAATCTGAACCAGGATAGCAATTCGAGATGGATGCTGAAAATGGTTAACAAACTTTGGAGCAGTGGTGGGATTCAAATTTTTTTACTACCGGTTTTGTGGGTGTGGCTTGGTGGGCATGGCGTGGCTTGGTGGGTGTGGCATTGCTTGGTGGGTGTGGCATTGCTTGGTGGGCATGGCTTGGTGGGCGTGGCAGGGGAAGGTTACAGGAAAATCCCTATTTCCTCCCGATCAGCTGATACTCGGGAGGCAGAGAATAGAAGGGGTGGGGCCAGTCAGAGGTGGTATTTACTGGTTCTCCGAACTACTCAAAACTTCCGCTACCAGTTCTTCAGGACTGGTCAGAACCTGCTGAAACCCACCTCTGCCCTAGAGGCCATATATTTCCTTCTACTCATAATTGGGTGATGGGGAAGAGAAGAAAAAATGCCTGTGATCAAAACTGATAGTAACAAATTAATGAAAACAGATTTTTTTTAAAAAAAACTGTAGAACCCTTACAGAAAAATGGTAGGTTTCGAACTGTGAAGAAAGAACAATGTGAGAGAAGCAACTACAGAGCAAATGCTGGATTGTCACAATGACTTAAAAGCTGTTGTATTCTTCAGTTTTAAAATGACAAATAACTTTGAAAGTTTGAATATTAAGATTCTAGTGCTTGGTTTTCTTTTCCCTGCCCAGCATACATTGATCGCTCATATTATTCATTTTGAATCTAGGCTCAGCTCTCTGGTTTTCAGAGAGAAATGATTATAACAAAAAGATTAGTGGCCTCTGGTTCATGTTTGTCTTATTTTAAAGACAGCAGCAGGGAAGTAATATCTCCCATTGTGTGCTAGAAGAAAGTTATGTGATTTCTAAGTTTCTGAGAGGTATTTTCGAAGAATTGCATTGTTTCTGGATAAATAGAAACAGCACATAACATAATAGAAGAGCGACGTTGTTCAGAAGATTATCAATTTCAAACTGAGGATTGCTTCAAACTTCCTATTGATATAGAAAAGTTTATTTAGAAACACAGATTGTCAGCAGACAATAATGCAGATGTCCTGAAGACTAAAATCAACATTCGTTCTTCATTTTCAAATTCTGATAATTTCTGATACTAATCTCTTGTTGTCTTTTGCATCCCAGGCAGCATACCTTAAACATTAATAGGTGTGTGTGTGTGTGTGTGTGTGTGTGTGTGTGTGTGTGTGTGTGCTACTTATATATTAAATAGCCATATTAAGTACAGGTAGTCCTCGACTTATGACAGTTTGTTCAGTGATGACTCAAAGTTACAACAACACTGAAAAATGTAACTTATGATTGCTTTTCATACTTATGACCGTTGTGGCATCCTGTGGCCAGGTAATCAAAATTCAGATGCTTGGCATCTGACTCATATTTATGACCGTTGCTGTGTCATGTGATCCCCTTTTGCGACCTTCTGACAAACAAAATCAATGGAGAAGTCAGATTCATTTAATAACTGTAACACCTGCAGTGATTCACTTAACAACTGTGGCAAGAGAAGTTGTAAAATGGGCCAAAATTCTCTTAACAAATGTCTCACTTAACAACAGAAATCTTGGGCTCAGTTGTGGTCGTAAGCCAAAGACTGCTTTTAATAACTTTCAGGAATGGGGACTGAGAAGCAATGCTGGTTTTTTTTGGTTTTTAAAGTTTTTTTAAATTTTTTTACACAAACAAAAAGACAATGCATTTTTTCTGAACAGAGTATTGGCCGAGTCACAAATTTATACAGCTTTTAGTTATCTCCAACACAATTTTTATATTTCACTTTTTGCCATAATAATATTCTTTCTCTCTAATTTTTCTTTTCTTTATTTCTTCTGATATATAACCAATATTACCCTTCGCCCTAATCTCTAATCTTAGTCAACTTTCCATTTTTCCCTTCCCCTCATTGCTTTCTCCAAGTTAAAACCCTTTAATTTAAAATCAATCATTTTTCTAATGCCTAACCCTAACTCTAAATCATCCTATTCAAATATTTTCCCATTGCTCCCTTTTCACAACATAATATAGTTTCAAGTGTTTCCCCTAAATTCCATTATTCCAATCACGAATATTAAGGTTCATCCAATTTTACATATATAACCCATTTCTTTCCCTTTTTTCCATTTCTTTCCTTTGTCAACTTATCCAAACCTCTCCTGCACGAGCTGCACTGGCTCCCGGTGGTCTTCCGGGTGCAATTCAAGGTATTGGTTACCACCTTTAGAGCGCTCCATGGCTTAGGACCTGGGTACCTACGAGACCGCCTTCTGCCACCGGTAGCTTCTCA